CCCTTCCCAAAGAATCTTACTTATTTTCAATATATATATATATATATATATATATGTATATCGGACCAACATTACTATGTTTTCTGACTAGGATTAACTTGACGGTCATTCGATGACTCACCCTCTTCTGTGATGTGCATACGACTTTAATGCCTAGTCTAAAGCCCTCACCCTCTGCCGAAGGACAACTCATTACACTAATTATTATGGCTACTGATCACGAAGTACTCTACCTGAAAATTCACTAACTATACCGACACTCTGTTACTTAAATAATTTCAGTTAGTTTATGAACCGGAGAAGGTTATCACCGTCCGTAAGTTGTTACTCTAATTTTGTAGCAGCTTGTCACTTTCAACTGACCATCGTCCACTAACCTACTTTTTGGAATCAATATAAACAAAGTATCGCTTCAGAAAATTACCACCAGGTATAGAAATTGGAGTAAATTAGTTGTGATGGGAAACTTCTAAATCGGCGTTTGTAAACACAACAACCTTTTGTATAATTGGGTGCGGATCTAGAGCTTAAACCGAATGTTCTTGATGATAAAGACACCAATTTGTACACTATTTTGCAATGCATGGGCATTTACTTTCAGTATCAATGTTAAATGATGTATAAATTATGACTCTGTAATTTTTCTTTTGTTCATTATTGCTACGGAATAACCGCGCATACTGACTACGAACTCATGCGTTGTAAGAAGATGAAGGTCTTTCGAAGAATAATAATGTAATAAATAATAATACAATCTGAAATTTTTTCATGCGCACAACCATGGTGTTCATAGACGTTTCCGCTGAAAATTCGTCTGTTCGTAAAGCGACCTACAGTATCGTGTACCTAAATAGTTGGCACTGCCAATCTGCTTTACGTAGTTATCAGACAAAATCACATCTTCCATCTTCCAGTACGCCAGACTATCCATTGACTAAATGGAGCGGGACAGTTGGACATTATGCATGCGCTGAAACCCGGAGAGGCTGATATCTGATAACATATTGAAGCGCCACAAAAATTAGATTTAATTATTACAGAGGAATGTTTCCCCGGGGCAAAGAACAGCAGTTATCTTCTGTAACGTTGGCCTTTGATGCAATAGCGCCACTGAAGCAAGGTCCGGGGGAGAAAAAGACTTCAGAATAAAACTCTGCGGAATAGATGAGAGGTTAATATAACTATAATCTACAACCAAATTTTTGGAAACGTCTGTATACTTTTCAAAAAGATTTGTATTTTTATTCTAACAAGAAATTTCGAGCAATAATTGCATAATTTTTTGTTGCACCGCAATTTACTCGCTGGAAAGGTTAAAGGCAATCAGTTAAGAGAAGTTTAATGAATGCACCCTCCTAAATCTTATCTTTTCTCCTCATTGGGGAATGGTCGTCCAATACATGTTCGTTAATTTGTCAAATCACCAAGAACGTGTCGCTTTATTGTGATGCATAATTTCGGTTAACAGGTTGCCTGATACTTCCATTTAAACAGCAACAGGCCAAGTTCCTTTTTGTTTTAATTGCAGACTCGTGAATTTCCTTCGCGGTTAAGAGTAATATTTTCATTCATTATGCTTAAAAAAGGAAGGAAAATCTAGGAGATCAGCGACTGGGGATTGACCTGCCAATTTTATACATAAATAAATATCGTTGTGAGTTAGAACAGGCGTCGACGGCAGAGTTTACTAGTACTAACAAATTTTGCGGTATTTTTTTAACTGCAACTCGTTACTGCAAAATATAAATTACGACTAAGAAACATACAGTAAATTAAATTATGAAAAACAATTCACAACAATATGACGATTGTTCACTGCACACCGTCTAATCATTGAAAACGGTAACTTTAAAACGTACTTAAGGAAAAAAATGTATAAGGAAAACTAACATACAAAAGGAAATTATGGATCTAAAAGACGGAAAATTGGCAGGCCAAAGTGAAGTTGCTCACTTGGTTTAGCTGTTTGCATAGAACCGGTTTGTCCCGCCTTATGTAGGTTGCTGCCAGGTACTGCGATGTGCTACTTATTTGTGCCTCAAAAATTACTCGGAGGAATGTTTTAGGATCAGCGGTGTGACTGCGATCTAGGGAATATTTCGTGTTAGACGGGCAAGTGATTTTATTTTTCTGTTTTAAAAGCCCTTTTCTCAGGTGCTTAAATGACTTGGTTCCTAGCTACCTTTGTGTTCAACCAGCCTACTTTCATCCACAAGTGCAAGTAAATTCATAGGCCCATTCTGAGGTGCCATGTAATGGCAAGGCCTCCTTTGCCCGTGGAATTGGACTAGCTTTATGCAAGGCGACTGCATGCTAGTGGCTGCAATGTATGTTCTTTTAGTGGTGCATTTCAACCGTTGCTTAATGTTATTTGAAATGTCGCCTTGAAGCGTAAGCGACTTTTTCGGAACTGATTTTTTCCGTCAGATTTGGCCGTAAGAGGTTGCTGTATTTTTCAATGGAACATGCTGTTGTGCATTGATTTTCTATGCAAATTCAAATTGATGTACACTTTTTATTCGTTAACTATGCTTTGCAGTCTTGAGTAGCAGTTGATGAAATGTCGCGAAATATGTCGGTCTCAACACGTCTTACCGCCAGTGTCTGTTTTAAATTCACACCAATAGTCCGCTGTTAACGTACTTTCAGGGATATTCTACGGGGATTTAAGTCATTTTTAAATAGTGTACAGACTTTGAGTGAAATCCGTGTGGACAAAATTACCGGTTTTTAAGGGACAGTGAGACCTGCATTCGTACAGTGTATTACACAACCTCGCCCTCCCAAACGAAGAAATCAGTGGAGCCATTTTTTAAACAAGCGGATGAGGTGCTGCTTGTAACCTCAAAGGCGAGGCAAGTTAATCACCCAGTTAAAAACATGGTTGCTAATGGAAATAGATAATTAGATTTTTTGTTCGATTGCAACGTTCTGATGAGAAATTGTCCAACTAATGTTCGGCTAATAAAATAACTCTTAAATACGTGTTTGCGGCATATTTTTAATAAGTCCATTTTATTCCATTGTGAAACGTTTGGGAGTCTCATTGGGAATTAAACCCAGGAAAGCAAATACAAGGTTTAACCAAAAGTATAATCGCCTGTTCAGTATAATTATTCACTTTCTGCCAAACAGAACCTATTATTAAAGCTGGCCCTACAGTCATCAGTTGGATTCCAGATCAGTCGCTTAGCAAAGTCTGCTTTGAAAGTCAACCTACGGTACCACAATTGACAGATTTTATACATTGCGGTAGTTTAAGCCAGTAACTTGACCCAAATGTCAAATGATCTGTATTCTGCCTAACCTACTACTGGAGACGTCTATTAATTCGAATTTTGATTTTTTCCTGGAGGAACCATCAAGAGTATGGAAATATATTGAAACCTGGCGTATAAGATTGGCTATGTGTGAGGATATAATCTTATATCTTAAATACTGGTTAAATCGTTTTGGCATTAGAATGCTTGAGTGTTGTAACAATAAATTGCCAATACTGTCAACGCAAAATGAAATTTAAGCACATAGAAATCGGGTCTGGGTGGCAATTCAGTAATTCATTCTGCTTCTCTGTACATGCCGACGTATAAGTTATCGCAAATCTTCTATCCATAAGGGAAACCATTTTGCCTCTGTCAAGAACGGCACATTTGAAAAAGTGTGACCCTTCAGTTGCTCAAAGTCTAGTTAAAAATAGGAAATATACATTCCAAAAACTCGAAAGTCTTACTTTCCTTTAAGCCCAGCCGACAGTTACTCCCCAGTGGTTAAAAAATGACAGAATAACTGTTTGGTCAATTCGTACTTTGACGTCAGTTGAGAACCCCCATACTAAAGTGATTTTATCAGAGAAACGACACAAATAAAGCCGTGTTGTTCTAAAATGGACAAATTTCCATAATTCGTATGCAAGTAAACTAATGTTTCTGCCGAGAATACGGGCAGTCTTAATGGAAAGTGCAGACCGCCAGCACGATTAATGCTCATATAAACAGAGAAACAATTTTACGACTCATCCGCATAAGCTGAAAGCCCGTATCACTGGTAGAATCAAGTGGACGGCTTTCAAACTCATTGAGTCACACTCATATTCATATCTCGCTGAAAAAAAACGGTTATCGTCACGAAATTAAAAAAAAACTGAAGGGCCCTTGTAAATGTTATTTAAGGAATTTTCTGGTGGAAATCTTATCGGGCTCCTGAGCGGCTGCTCTGAGAATATGCGATCTCCGATGCTGTAACAGCGACCAATTTGTCATCCTTTTTTATTTCCCTGATAATTAGCGCGCGGATTTAGAGCCAATCTTTCAGAACAAAGTTCTATAGACCCGGCCCTAGGATGGACACGAATGTCTGAAATGACATTTATCATCGACTCCGGAATAACCGCATAGTATTCAGAGGCTGCCAGTAGGTAGTCAGTGGCATTACAATGCCGGATGATTTGCCATACTAACAGTACAGGCAAGTGGAAGAAGGAAAATTGCTCTCCGGAATAGGTTTATTTAACTGCTGACGTTTCAAAGAGCTGGGTCGGCTCTTCATTGTCAAAGCGTAAACTGCACCTAATCGATCAGAGATTTAATTTAAAGTGGCAAGCTGTGTTGGCTGGCCTGATGCTGAACGTAGTTGTGTCCGCACTCTATTCCAAAGAGTCGAAACACACTGCAGCACACCAGAAGATAAAAGGGCCGAACGATTGTACCTTGTGGACCTATTTGCAGCCAATGGTTATCCCAGGCATTTCATCGAGAGAAGCAGACGTTGGGCGCCCAGACAACGGCCAAATGAGCAGCAACCCGAAGTCTGGAGGGCCATTCCTTACGTTAAAGGCGTCTCTGAAGCGGTCTCGCGACTGTTACAACCCACCAGAGTAGGTATAGCCCATCGACCACAAGCCACAATTCGACGTCGCCTGATGCAACCTAAAGACCCATTGCCACCCGCTGAAATCTCAGCAGTCATCTACATAATAAATTGCGATGAGGGCGACTGCAACTATGTGGGCGAAACTGGGCGGAAACTGCAAACTCGCCTACAAGAACATTAATGTGCCACTCGAAGGTTAGACCCTAACTCTCAACTAGAAACACACGTTGGGGAAACGGGGCATACTTTTGACCTCCAGAGGGCTACCATCTTAGGCCGAGGCAACACAAAAACAAAACGGCTAACTCTCGAGGCGTGGTTCTCCGATGCCCACTCTACCAACAGGCATCTGGACCTTCCTGCAGCTTACAAAGTCCTACGTCATCACAACCGTAGAGCTCAGGACCAATAACCACACCGGACTTAAGAAGACAGCACAAAGATAGCTCGACGCTGAGCTTACTCGGTGAGGAAGAACAGGAACCGCCAGACCGACCGCCCGACTAAAGTCCAATCAGCTCCCCTCGACGGATTGGTGACTCATAAAGCGCACAGGCAAAAACGCCCATCAACCATTTCCTGAGAGGCCGACGCAGCGGGAGAAGAAAAAAAAATCGATCAGCATCAGGCCAGCCAACACAGCTATCCACTTTAAATTAAATCTCTGATCGATTAGGTGCAGTTTACGCTTTGACAATGAAGAGCCGACCCAGCTCTTTGAAACGTCAGCAGTTAAATAAACCTATTCCGGAGAGCCAATTTTCTTCTTCTAATAATCTTCCCGGATCTCTAAACTTTTCCAATCTGAACAGTACAGGCAATGGCCAAAAGTGCAGGGACGAGTGTTACTGTGATATTATGCCACTGCATGACGCAACGACGAGCTGTTCAGTGTATTCGTTGGCCCTCAGCGTTCCCCATGTGTACTCTGGTATATGAACTCCAGTTTGAATGCTGACCACTAGATGCTATTGCCAGACCATTTGCAGTCCGTGAATATCACACGATTATTGGGCACTAGCTAATGAATTTTAGTAAACATATTTGTATCAACATTCGAACTAAGACTTAAAAGCTTTATTATAGAGAAGTTACTTCAAATAGGCACGCCACTTTTGGAGGACAATAAAGAGATCCCATTTAAAATATAGTTTATTTAACAGAAAGCTCACGAGGAATGACGAGAGACCGAACAATGAGTCTCAGATCTCGCAATACCGTCATGGAGCGACATATAATCAGCGGAGCATGCATACCTGGGCTTTTAGCTAGTATTTGCACTGTCCGTATGGCAAAAATTTTGGTTTTTCTGTGTGGAATTTTGCAAAGTGCGAAAATTGTTGTTCAGCGAATTTGCTTCATTAGTGGATAACCGCAAATGAAGTTTGACACGCGAAATTCCGCACCGGGTAGCGATCACGCAATAGGCTTTAGAGGGGCTCTAAATGTTATTTTCGTTCATTCGAAGTAAAAAAAATACGATACAATTTAACGGTCGTCCTAAGTTGCCCCTAAGATCTGATATGCTGTCTGTTTTTTACGTACGTGCCTGAAATTTACGAAATATAAATCGCATTTCTTAAGTCTGCCCAAGTGGCAAGCCCATTTTTAACACCATGCCTCCCTCTTTGGATGATCAAGGGTGTAATAATATTTACCAATGTGATAATTCCACAATGGCCATATTCTCGTAATCCGGTCAACGAAAGTGAGCCTTCTTACACATCTTATTGAATAATTAGACTCTCGTTTGATGTTCACTTCCTGTGTCTAGGCAAAAAGCTGCACGTCAGCTTATTTTCGTTAATTGATCTTCCAGGCTGATGACAAAAGGGGGATATGCACATTCGTTCTTTAAAGCGCCAAGCCTACTGATTGTGATATTTCGCATTTCTTTGCCTTTTAAATCAGTTCCTTTTGAAATTTTTAATAGACGAATTAAAATTAATAGATCTGCAACAAATATGCCTGAGAAGTGCGTTATTTTGACGACTTTATATTTTTAGTATCCTGCTATAGCTCCTATTCTAAATATACTGTTATTCGACGACCGGCAAACTGTGAGGGCTCCGAACTGAAGCACAAGCACAACGGAACAAGCTTGACCCCTAACCCGACTGCACAACCTACTTCCAACGCAATTAGTACTCCTGATCGTAAGCGACAGGACAAAGGACCCGCGACTCCGTGGCAGATCGTTGGCCTGAACAATGTTAGAATACAAAAGAAGGGGCTTCTAATCTCATACTCTGGAAATTTACAATTTGATAGGATTGGCTGACGACGTACAATAAGCCAAAAACAGCCATTTCCGGCTCTCTAGTCTTTGTTGGAACCCCATCCTTTATAAAGTACACTGTGTCAGTTCTGTGGATAAGTTATGTGGAATATAATTACGTGCAGAACCTGGAATTACACAGTATGTAGCCGAAACTACGGATCAAGCGATGTGTAATCAGGATCCACGGTTTGTCCTCGTCAGCTATTAAACTTTTTTCTCATGAAAATTCATTTTTCTAGTCTGTCACTAGATAATTTCAAATTATGTTTCAGAATTGAGCACATTCACATCACTCCGAAGTCGCACAGTGTTTAATATGTCTTATATCAGATATATGCTTGCCGAAATTGCTTTAAACCATTGCTGGCCCGAATTGAACATATCGTGAGGGAAACGAAATAAACACATTAATGTCTGAGTCCCTTAAAATATAATCAGGTAGAGGGGCGCTCACCGGTCGTGCTACGGAACTCGCTCGTCCTTGTCGAGCTCAGCCAACAGCCACACAGCGACGCGTGATAAAATCATAATGGAACGGCCGCTTCTGACTTATTAGCCGTAGTCACCCAGTCATACCCAAACCTCAATTGTAGAACACCTGGGTCTCGATCCCGCCACCTGTTGGTTAGAAGTCCAGAACAGCTGACGAGGTTTTGTACTAACTGATTGTTTACCTCTAGTGAGTCTGCGAAGGTCGATTAACGACGTTAAATTACTCGTGGCGGGTGACGGGAGGATAGAAGACTTTTCCGACTGTCCTCTGTTATCCTCGCACTCATGTACATAGAGTGTAGACTGTCGCAGTTTGTCAGTGTTTATGTACTCCACGTAAAACTTATTCTCCTGCAATCGTAGTTAAAAAAAACCTCCAGCTTCCACTCATCTACATGAACAGCCCAACAGCCGCAAACCCGCCGAATTCGTCAATGTAAATCCCATCAGAACATGTTGGACTCCGGAGAGGGCATGTCCTGAGTGGAGGTCAGTAAGCGATCTTCATCCCGCTGCCCTAAGGGAGGTTCAGGTGGATGTTTTTCTAGTTGCAGACGCCTACAGCCGTGATGATTAATACGTCTGTTGCAATTAGCCGTCAATGCTGATTGACACAGACTGCCGCTGGAAACCGAGGTTATGGGAAGGCTATCTTAGTGGGTGATGATGTGCATCTGCAACGCAATTATCCCAGGATCACCCATTCATCTGAAAAGGTGACAGACCGTCTAGGCTGTGGTGGGCACAATTTTGCGCTTCAGCGCTAGCGCGGTAGTAACGCCAAAAGGTTCGCTGCTGCAACGCACGGGATATTAAGGAAATTAGCAGTTTTGTTTGTATATGAGTTAGCTGAATTATTAACTTCGAAAGTGTCCTACAAGTAGGGGTATGAAACGACTGGCTAGAATTTTTTAAATTTCGTCGCTCCCATTGGGGAATAGAGTATTGGGAGCTTAGCGAGCGTCGTCCTTGTAGAGTGATGGCCGAGGTCACGTGTCGCCCGTCCAGGTCAAAAGGTCTAAAAGTGTGCTGTGTCAGTATCAGCAAACCGTGGCCGTCAAACCTTGGTATGCGCTGGCACCTGCTTCCCTGCCAATAGCTGTGCTTGCATTTCTGCTGTGTATACAGGTGGTGTGCATGGCTGCACAGTCATCATCGTCCTTCTGACTTCTGTTGGGGTGTTTTTGTTGGTGAAAAATCCTGGTCAGGTGTATGGTGATGACCAGGGGGTGTGATGGCACGCCTAGGTGCGCTTCGAGAAATCGGACATAGCAAGGCGGAAAAATATCTACTGTCGGAGCCCACCTGATTTCATGAATGAACGAAAATAACATTTAGAGACCCTCTATAGCCTGTTGCGTGATCGCCTGCCTCTTCCCCCTCCGCCTGCCTCTTCCTCCTCCTCTCCGCCGCCAACTTTCCCTGACAATTCTTCTGACCCACCACTTCCATCATCCTTTTCCTCCTCCTCCTCCTCCTCCTCCTCCTCCTCCTCGCCCACTGCTCCAACGGCGGCCGCTCAGGCGACTGTCCCGCGCACAACAACCGACACTACCCCCACCTCTCCCGACTCCAGGGATGAGGATCAGGACTACATCTGCCCTCACTGCGCCTTTTCGGCCACATGCGCATCCACGAGAGTGGCCTTGACCGCCCGCTCTCAGTTCACGCAGTTCGTCGCGTTGTGTGCGTGTGTTGTGTGGAGTGGCGGACTGGTGGGCTGGGGACAGGCTGAAACAGCAGCTTCCACGGCACTCTCACGCAAGTGAGAGGCACGCCGTTCAACCCCCGTTGTGTGAAATCCTGGTATTTGTGTGTGTATGGGGGGCCAGGTCATGCCGTGGCGCGCGTAGTCATGGTCAGTCGACCATGTCAGCCACCGCGCCCATTCCCCACTCCAGTCTGCTGACCGGCTCGGACAGCGGCTGAGGTGTGGGAGTGGGAAGGGAGAGTGACGTCGACGACGCAGCGCACTTTCTCCTCCCTATAAACAATCTGGCGCGCTTGAAGCTATCACGGTGCGCTAAAAGCCGTGGCTTGGAAGGTTGCCAACTGACGGGGTAACTTGAACCTCCTCCTTGACTGGAGGCGGTCTGGGAGTCAGGCTGCAATGGCTCCTTTTTAATGTGGCCTTTATGGCACTCTCATCACAATGTGGGATCCGAGCCAGGCGTTGGCGGCACGCCCAGGTGCGGCTTCGGCGGTGCCAACCGCCAAATCTCTCTTGTGTTGGTTGAAATCCTGGTTATTTGTTGTGTGGACCAGGGGGTGTGGTTGAACGCCAAGGTGAGGATCCGTCCGCGCCATCCACCTGCGGCCTCTCTCGTCTCCGGTCTTCTTGACTCTGTCTTGACAACGGGCTTGGGCGAGGGAGGAGGAGAGAGTGTAGGTAGATGCTACGCAAGTCTACCGGCACTATAAACCCCTGCGTAAGTCACCGTTCCTGCTCCCATTGCTGCTGTAAATGTGGGGCACACGGTGGACATCATCGAAAACGATGGTCGAACTGTCAGGTGCTCGTCCGACCGTGCCAGCCACCTGCACGCTCCACCGTCCCCAGTCTTTTTGCCTTTCGGCCTTGACACTGGGTCCAAATGGGGAGTGGGGAAGAGAGAGCGTGGTAGATGCTGCGCAGGTCTACTATCCCTATAAACTAATTCACGCGCAAGCAACCGTGACTTCTACACTTTGCTGTGTGGCCCACGGTGGACATTGTCGGAATCGACGGTTGAGACTGTCATGTGGTCGAGATACAGCATATCAGCGCATTCACCACCACAATAAAGTCAACACGACCCGCTACTGATATGGACTTCGAATAACTGCGCCTGATGAGATAACACGGTTCCGCTTAAAACTGGATTCTACTTAATGGAACCCCCTTTTGTGGACTCACCTAGGCCAAATCCAAGCCGTCTTTACAGGTAGACTGGTATGTGAAGTGGGAAACAGGCCGTGCTTTACGGGCGTAGGCGGACCCTATGTTTTGGTCAGCCACTGCGCCGTAAAAATTCTCCTGCCATCTTGGCGTCGTCTTGCCATCGGAACAATGAGGTTGAGGGAGCCTGCCTCACTATAAATTAATTCGCGTTCAGAGCACAATTGCTGTCCTGTTCTCTAAAAAAATTCGCGCACTGGCAGTTATTTACGACTGTCGACTAAATTTAACACGAAATCAGGTGGGCTCCGACAGTAGATATTTTTCCGCTTTGCTATGTCCGATTGCTCGACTGCCGTTGCTGAAGATGCCTGTCGTGTGCTCCACAGCAGGAGGAGAGCGGAAACGGTGGCTTGCACATGAGGTAGTTTATAACGATATAAGGCTTGCGAAGCATCAATCTCACTCTCTCGGCCTCTTCAACTTCCATGCGGTTTCGAGAAGACCGCAGACGGAAGGGGGCACAGATTGCTGCCGTGACAAACAACCGCACCTGGACGTGTCATCGCAGGGGTCTCCACTGGTGCCGAGTGAACCAGCAACTAGGCGTACCATAAAATCCCCAACGTACACTGACCACAACAAAAAATAAAAGTGGTGGCAAGGATCTCCACTGGCGCGGAGTGGACCAGACTCTGGACTTGCTACAACATCCTAATTTTGGCATTTGTTATTGGTGTGCTTTCCTGATAACGCCGGCCGGACTCCGACTTCACAACGGTGTTGATCCTGCTTATCCACCGCGTGGCCTCTTTTAGGAGTAATTATGCACGGAAAGAAAAACATGACGGATACTGGGATGGATGTGCGTTCTCACTCACGAACGACGACCTACTGCTTGAGTTTATTTTTAAATACTCCATCAGGGAAAAAGGAACTGTTATAGGTGTCCGGCATAATGTACAGTAGATGTGCTAACTCATGAAATGCCAATCAAAATTTCGAAATGCGTTCTCGTTTCGAAAAGATAAATTAAGTAGTGTTGTAAAACTAATCATGATGAGCATAAATCTATAATGATCCAGTTACCACAGGGTGTCGACTTTTGAAAGAACGTATTTTCGGCTGCATGCAAGTTCTATACTCTGTAAAAATGACTGCTTAAATAGCATGCAATTTTCTCATTGATTTTCGATGCCCTTGAAAATTCAATTATAGTTCATGGAAAACAAGCATAAGAATATTCATTCTTTTACTTATTCAGTAGAAGATCACGTCTTATTCCAATTTAATACTCAAAAGAAGGGTATAATTCGATTTAAAAAACTTTTCCAATTCCCGAATAATTTTGGACCCGACCTGCTGTTACGCTTGCATTCAGGATTTCAAAACTACAAACTGTATATTTTCCGTGTATGGAAAACCGTGCATTTCTCTAAGGTGTTAAGAGAAGACCATACGAGGTTCACAAAATTTAGCAGTGGGTTTAAGCATTAATGTTAACTTTACAAGCCACATTCTTAAATGCAGATACATGACGTTTCATGAACCGGCTATTTAACGGTATTAAAAAATCTCACAATTAGAAACCGTTTAAAACCGAAGAATACTCTTCTTTTGAGAATGAAATTGGAAGAAGACGTGATCTTCTACCGAATAAGTAAAAGAATGAATATTCTTATGCTTTTTTTCCATGGACTATAACTAAATTTTCAAGGGCATCGAAAATCAATGAAAAAATTGCATGCTATTTAAGCAGTCATTTTTTGCAGAGTATAGAACTTGCATGCAGCCGAAAATACGTTCTTTCAAAAGTCGACACCCTGTGGTAACTGGATCATTATAGATTTATGCTGCATCCTGATTATTTTTACAACATTACTTAATTTATCTTTTCGAAACGAGAACGCATTTCGAAATTTTGGTTGGCATTTCATGAGTTAGCACATCTACTGTAGGTTATCAGCAGAAAAATTCGTATGTGTTTTGAACAGCCAAATGCAGCTGCCGATAGTTTTTAACTTTTTTAAGGCAGTTGGAAGAGCAAAACGGGCGTTACGAGTGGAGTAACTGCAGCCGACTTCGAATGGTCGCCATAACATCGACTGGGGAGTTTTTAATCATTAATGGGATTTTATGGCAAGGGTGGCAGACTCAGAGGAATTGAGTATTGGAACGCGTACGAACTCTATCCTCGCCTGGTGTAAAAGACCTGTTATTTAGTTGTGGTGCTGGAAGACATGTAGCATAACTACCTTTGGGGTTTTTCAAATGCAAATTATTTCTCAGTTATTCAATTACAACTCCTCACTTGTGTGTCCGGCGTTTTAAAAATTTATCTTTAACTTCGGGAAATATGACCTTTATGTTCTTCCAACCGGGATGTAAATCGAACCTACGTAGATCATCTGGCCTTTTATTACTGGCAACTTTGTGAATAACTGGGCCTGCTTTAAAAAGACCTGCGTTTATGGCTCAGATTTAGACGTCTTTTTTAAAAGGCCTTTTGACGAGGAGGAAAACTTGGCACTCCTCGCCAAGGATAATGTAGACATTAACAGCCAATTCGCATCCCGTCGTAATAAGACCTCCAGGCCAATCAGCGCCTTCCTGTATTTCAAAAAGAGGTTTTGACACATCCATTCATACACCAGTTCTATTTCTAATAAGAAGATGCGAACTGGAAAACAGATTTAAGAGTCAAATACTTCACAAAATAGCAAATAACAGTATGTTTTGGAAGTGTATTTTACAAGTGAATTTCTGCATCATAAAGAGCTCTAGTCGCCGTCTGCGAATCTAATCAGATATAACAGCATTTAAGGGCCAAAAGTACCTTGATGCTGATAGAGGCCCCAAGTCGTTCCGCGTTTTGTACCAACCGAAGTTTCGAAAACATGCCATTAGAGGGCGCAGGAAAACATATGTATGTAAAATCCGCCGAGTGTAGCGGGGTCAAATATAACCGGAAAAACGGTCCAATGCCAGAGACCAAGACAAAAAACTCAATCCAAGACCGACATTTTTCATATCGAATACGCAAGTTGTTGTGACAAGTAAATTCCACAATAACGGGCGGCGAACTGACGCGAGAGCCCATAGTCTCAACGGCATGCACATTTATATCAACCACCTGTTAATCTATTGACCCACAAAGTGCTGCTCACCAAAGCAGGTACAAAATAGTAAAATATTATTTAGTATCTGTGAGGACAAGGTCGAATATTTACTTCCGTCACAGGATATTCAAAGATTACTTATCTATGTGCTCGAGAGTAAAGATACAGTTCTGGGTTACAAAAAGGCACATTCTGGCTGAAAATGGCCTCGGTAACATAAACAAGTCGAGAGTAACACCATCGACGCATGAAGAAACATCCCTACCGACCACAGACTTGTCATAATACTTTAAAGTGACGTGGATTGCCTTTGATTAAAAGTAACAGGCAGTAGTTTCCACTTTTGAATCTGCAAAATTAAGACAATCAAAATAAAAAGAGTGCTTGTAAGCAAGGTCTGTGTTAAAATAAACGCACAACTTATTATCTGAGGTCGGGAAATATTAAGCAAAAATGGTAGTGGAACTTAGAATTTCCTAAAACATCGTTGAATGAGCTGAATGACCAAAATGTTTCCGAAATCTTGCCGGGTAGTAGCCTAGGCACAGGGATTATTAGGCCCAGTTCTATACAGGGAAGAGGTGGGACTCCAGTTGAGAGGATGAAGTTTCCTGTTTATAACTATTGGAGAAGGGGTTAGTAGGAGTTGGCAGTCGAACATGGGCACATCCGACGCTGCGAGAGCGTCGTCGGCCAATGTGATACAATGGAGCCATCGTGCAGCGCCCTCAACAGGGTCATGTCTGAGTCAGCCTCGAAGATGATTGGCCAGTTTGGACGGCCGGCACTGACCGGGAACCAGGCTGCAACTGCTGCGCTTTTACAAGTAGTCGCCAGATGGGCACGGATTTGGGTCAGTACAAAATCACCTCGTCTGAGTTGCTTGTCAGGTCAGCTAAACACTGATGCGTCTTGATTTAAAAAAAGTACACAGCAGAAGTGTTTCCTTCAAGCCTTTTTGACTGCATGAAATGGGGCTTAAAGTATGTCTACCCGAATTGCGTTTGCTTGTCTGACGTTAGCCTTGGTCACTTTGTCCGGCAGCCCCGGCAGGTTCTTCCAGCCCCCCAATTTCTGAAATCCGAGATTGGCTGATCGGCCTAAACTTCTCAAATAGAGTAAATTTAATCAGTCGGACTGTTACCTACTTTAGCATACATATGTCCTGACCAGCCACCACGTTTGACTGTTAAATGAGCGAAAATTTTGCATAAAAATCGTTCATATGGAATAATATCATATGGAACATATGGAACAATATCAGCCTTTTGTTCTGTGCATGATATCTGGGTAGAAGACCGATCAAATATCCTCGGACCGCCAAGTTGTGCGTAGCTCTTTTGATGTGGGAATCGAGAATCCGCCTTTTAAGAAACCCTGACAGCAACCAGTAGCACTGCACTAGCGCAAGGCGCTAAGATAGGGCAATAAATAGGCCAGGTTGCTGGTTGGTCAAGGTAGGTCTCCGCACTTTAGAACGTTATATCGGTCAGCGCATGATCACGCGCGAGTCTATTAGTGTATGGATGTCAAGTTTTGGGTCCACGTGAAAATTGTAGTAGATCACATTCTTTGTCTCTAACAGGTGGTGGCAAGATCTAGTGTCCACTAACTGGTACCCGGCTCTCACGGGTGGCTCATCAAATTTAGGCTCTGCTAAGCGGCGAGATAAATCATGTGAGGGCAGCTGTTGTTGTGTGTGTCCCCCCACCCGGTACCTCTGTTTTCGCTCGCATCCGCCTCCTTCTACGCCTCACTCCAAAGGTCCTTTAGAGAGGACGAAACGCGATCCCGCAGGCAGCTCAGACATTCTCGTATCGTTCTCCCGCTATGCATATTTTTGACCTAATGTGGAGTCTGGCAGACGTCTGGAATGTCTAAGTAGCCCTATTTAGAGATAGCACTGCTTACCTCCTCATGAAGGAAGGGGATAGAAAAAGTGCACCAAACAAATGCTGAGATCACGTCCTCTGCATGCTAACCGTGGCTCGAGAATGGAAAACGCGTAATTAAAACCCTCAAACAAACAACAACGACCCCCGCCGCATCCCCTCTTCCGCAACCTACGGGTATTCAGAATGAGTCCGTTCACTCTAGTAACCTGGAATGTTCGTTCTGTTTTGGACAACCTGATGCACAATCGACAAGAACGGAGGGCGGCGCCGGTCGCTCGAGAACTGAAGCGCTACAAGGTGGACACTGCTACACTTAGCAAGACCCGATTCTCCGAATATGGTCAACTGAAGCAGTTGGACACCGGCTATACCTCCTTCTGGAGCGGCCGCCCAATTGCAGAGCGAAGTGACGCCGTCGTCGCCTTTGCCATCTGGAACGACATCGTTGGAATACTACCCTGTTTGCCGCAGGGCATCAACGACGACTTATGAACCTGCTCCTGCCTATCCAGAAATACAAATTCTCTACGACACACAATGGCCAGCTCCGGCGAGAGGAAGAGCAAGTTCTACGAAAACCCGCACGCCCTCCTGGTGACTGTGTCGTTTGCGAATAAGCTGGTTTTCCTTGGTGACTTCAATGTCCGCGTCGGAATAGACTGTGCAGCCTGGAGAGGAGTGCTGGGTCCCCACAGAATCCGCAACTTCAACGACAGTGGTCTACTTCTCCTGCAAACCTGCGGGGAACACGGGCTCTTGCTAACCAACAGTTTCTTTCGCCTGTCGATGCAAAAGAAGGTGATCTGGGTGCACCCCCTCTTACGGTGTTGCCAGCTGCTGGAATACGTTCTCGTCCGGCGGTGATAACGGCAGGACGTGCAAGTGACCAGGGGGGCTGGACGCCGATGTCGACACCGATCACCGCCTTGCAATCTCCAAGATGAAGCAGCGTCTGCACCCCTCCCCCACAGAAAGCCACAAGGTAACCAATCACCAGGTAAGTTAAATATTGTTTTTCTGAATTCACCTACTTGCCGCTCATATTTCAGCAGCCAGTAGACCGGCACCTGGAGAAACCGTGGCGGTCGAGTACGCAACAGCACACAACAATTACGGCACAGTTCCGCTTTAGAAAAGAAGGGGGAAGACACCAGTAGGAGTACCATATTCTGTCAGAATCCCCCAACGCGGGACGGGCTGTAGGCCGGCGCATGACCGTACGCTAGGGTGACGTGGGCGTAAGTGGACAGACGTCACGTGAGAGTCAGTCAGCATCAACGTGGCCACTTGATTGGGTGATAGTGGAACATGCGGGCGTCCGTGATTAGCTATCATCGGGATCGTATGTGCTCACGTCCTGGCGCTTGGGGTCGTGATCACATGGCTCCTAGCGCAGCGTGGGTGCCAGAGGACGAAGGGTCAATCTCGTTTGAGGCGCTACAACACTGCCGGTCCCGGTCGACAAAGCCACCGTAGAGAATCGGCGGCGTTAACCGCGGGGTTCTTTGAAATCGGCTGCTTTGGACGTCCTCGGTTGCGCACGTCGCCAACACCAAGACTGGTTCGACAACGATGCCGATATCAGACAACTGCTCCCTGAAAAGCTTCGGCTGCAGATGCTTACATAAATAATCGGATCTGCGACGTTCTTGCGCTATCGTTGCATCGTGCAGCACCGACTGGCGGAGACGCAGGAAGCCAGGGTGACCGCAAGACCGAGGAAATCCAGAGGTATGCAGACCTCGATGAACTTAGAAACTTCTTTAAATCACTTAAGACGGTCCCCAATCTGAAGGAATCGCGCCAATCCTCAGCCCCAATGGGACGGAAAAATCTCAGATTTTGAGACGTTAGGCCGAGAACTTCAGAAACTTCCCCAACCGCTCCTCCACAATCTCCGACGACGCCATCGACCAATTACCCCACGGTGAAACGAATGACGACCTAGTTCTGACGTCTTCTCTCCGCAAAACAATCGGCGCCGTGGGAAAGCACCGGCAGCGGGCCCCATTACGGCCGAAGTCTGCGAGCACGGCGCTCCTAACCCAGAGACCAACTCACACTGCTATAAGTGAAGAAGAAGAGTCGAGCAACGGAACACTTCGTTTATTATCCTGAGCTTTCAGACTCGTACGGGAGTCCATCGTCAGAGGTAGTGGCAGAAACAGGATAGGCGACAGTTATAAGGCACGTAGGCCCAATCATCGACCGACGTCGCACGAGTGGAGGTGACTACGAAGGGCTCTGTACGCCGGCGCCAGATCGATAAATCGATTGACCGAGTTCTCTTCCGAGGCCCAGGCTTCAATCAATTCTCGGCCTGTTTTGTTTCCGGCGTGGGCGACTATTTTGGTGGCTGCGAAGTCAAACTCGTGACCCATTTCGTAGGTGTGGGCGGCCACTTGTGATAATGCGTCGCCTCGCCGTACAGCCAGCTTATGTTCGTGTATGCGCGATCCGAGCATGCGTCCAGTCTGTCCTGCGTAATTACAAGGACAATTTTGACACGGAATGCGATACACTACTCCAGATTGCACTTCAGGTTTTAACCGGTCTTTAATTTTCTTGACCCTGCTGCGCATGGTGGCTTTGGGGCGGTGTGCAATTCCAACACCTAGCTCCGCAGCAATGCGCTCGGTCGCTTCTGAAACACCCTTGATGTATGGCAGAGAATGCCATATCGTCGGTGGCGTTGATGTTCGAGTTCTCTGGTGGCGACCGCTTAGGCAGCGACTTTTGAATGCCCTCGGATAGCCATTTTGCACAAACTGGTCGCGGAGATAACGGGCCTCACGCGCCTTATAACTGTCGCCTATCCTGTTTCTGCCACTACCTCTGACGATGGACTCCTGTACGAGTCTGAAAGCTCAGGATAATAAACGAAGTGTTCCGGTGCTCTTCTCTTCTTCTTCACTTATGCATACACCTGGAACTCGAAATTTCGCCTTCATTCACACTGCTATTCCAGGAGATGTGGCACCACGCACCAGTTCCTCCGCATTTGGAGGATGTGAAAGTCGTCCATCTATACAAATGGAAGAGGGATTCACAGCCCTGTGATAACTACAGGGGAATCTCGCTGCTCAATATCGCCGGAAAGATCTTTACTTGGACCCTGCTCAATCATCTCAACGGCTAGCTTGAGGAAGGTCTGCTCCCGGAATTTCAGTCTGGCTTCAACTGTCACTGCGCAACCACCGACAGGATCTTCGTCGCCCTCCATCTGCAAGAGGAACGCCAGGCAATACAGACTCACTTCACTTCGTGAATTTCACGAAAGCCTTCGGGACGGTTACTTGCGAAGGATTATGGAAAATCATACAGAAATTCAGCTATCCCGAGCGATTCATGCGTATGATATGTCAGCTCCACTTTGGGATGATGGCGTACGTCACGAACAATTGAACCACCTGTGAAGCATCTGCGGTAAGTAACGCAGTGAACCCGGGCTGCGTAATCGTTCCCTACCCTCTAAGCCTCAGGTTTTCTGCCATGATAATAAATGACTACCGTGATGAGCGCCCCGGGATTCGCGTTGCTTACAGGACCGACGGACGTCTCAACAGCCGGCACACGCGGGACTCAGCGAGTCTCTCCGCAACTACAACTGCTATTCGTCAACGACTGCGCATTCAACACCGGGACGGATGCTGCCTGCAAGGGAGTATGAGCCTCTTTGCTTTCTTGTATGCCATCTTCGGACTGGTCATCAACACGGACAAGAAGGTGATCGCGCTACCCAACGCTGCATACAGTATTGCTAGTATCCAATTTAACGGCATCCAACTGAAGACCGGGGACAATTTTGTCCATTTAGGCAACACACTCACGCTACGTTGAAATAGAAGATACAGTAGGTCGCCGGGTCTACAAAACCAGCCAAGCCTTCGGCCGGCTGCAGAACTCCGTATGGAACTGCTCCGGCCTCCAACAGGACACTAAGCCCAAGATTTACTCATCTGTTTTCCTGACGACACTTCAAACGCTCGTGCCCCACCCCCGTTGATCATCACAGCCTCCATCATCTCTGCCGCAATCACCGCGGCAACGACAAGCCATTTCTACCACCTCCGCCGCCGAGTGAAACGCTCCTGACATCCCGTCGACCACCAAAACCTTCAGCATCACCACCCCTAATTCCAGCGTTGTGGATTTGGTTTGAAAATGTCCTCATTGCGATCGTCCATTCACCTCTGTCATCGGTCTGGTTGGTCATTTGCGAATTCATCGTACTGTAACAAATTCACCAGTGCCAGGAACCGAAATACACCCGCCTACGCTGCCCACACTGTCCAGGTAGATTCACTCACCGCATAAGGCTATTAGACCATATGAGGCTTCATGAAGACGTGCAGTAAGTCACCACAGACACGACCACATCACCACATATCCCCCCCACCAATACATGCACTGGGTGTACATTCCTTCAAAATCCAACATTACCGCCACCTCTAGCACATGTGCAACCATACTTATGCCGTTTTTTGGGAAAGGTAATAGGTACAGTTGTACAGGGGGCGTCCACCAAAGCCAACGTCAAGGTATAGTGGAGAGTAAAAATCTAATTAAAGATAAACAGACAGGAGAGATTGACGGCGTCAACGCGGCTAAATTTGGGAGGCAATTTGCAAACCGCCCGTGCGCTCTTCTAGCTCTCTTTAGCTTTCCAAGCAATTAGTCGTAAAAAATTTAGTATAATAATAGAGAAGAGTTTGCAAAGGAGCAGAAGTTGTAAAGATATGGATAATTCTGGCTTGCCAAAACCTTTGCAGGAAGTTCAGGAGGAGCAGTTGAATGCAAGGGTGGGTACGCGGTTTATATCTTTCTTTCGGATGGGATCCATCATTTTTGCAGTCAGTAGTAAAACCCCGAAATATACCCTAACAGTGATATAATTAAACCCCGGTAAAAATAATCTGTCAACGTATTTAATAAGATTAGATTGATAAAAAGTTAGAAATGAATAATTCACTCATCCGAGGCTAGTACCTTGTCTCTGGGTTCATTTTAAAGCTGCGAAAGGCTCAACAAGCAAGACAATGCAGGTTTGAAGAATTTCGATCTCGGGATGGGTTCAAAATGCATTTAAAGTTAATAGTACAAAAAACTATTGCGACCGTTTGTCAGCTGCCCCTAGTCGTTCGGTGCCATGAAGACTGAGTGATAATACACGTAGATTGAATTAGCCCAAAATATGAGTAAGGAAACACTGAAATGCCAGTGCTGACGACATAACCTAAATACTAAGATGAGGTCATCTAAAAATTCGAGTGACTAGACCTGAGAACGTAAAGATACTAAATAGGGAGACTACATGATAAAGGACGAACAGAAAACGGACAGGTGAAGCACATTCCTCGGTTTTTTCTCCCTTTAAGTGTTTCCGTACGTCTGTGGACAACTTTCAAATGACGCGAGACCCGAGCTGTTTGCTAGTGAATCAGGACTCGGATTGAACAGATTCAAAAAGGCGTTTTTTGAAAAAAGATCAGGGAATTTTGTTTAACGACTTTTATTTTGCCGAACTTACCGTGGTCAGTTGCCTTGCGTTCGTCGAGTATACCTACATCGGCAGGTACGCATGATTTAGGCAATCGACACATCAATTTGTCATTGCAGTTAACTATATCCGTAGTCGTGGCAGTTCACAGTCTTGTGGCTAGACTGCTACACGTATTTTTACATTATAATCCCCGATAGTCGGGCGCGGGTTCGACGCCTCGGTTTAATGAGACTCAACTCGATTCCCAACCCTATCGCGTTCGCTATGGTCCGATGACACCCGTTGTAATCATTGACCGGACGGCCAAGTATATGGCTTTGCCCTATGTAATCGGCAGCTACCAGTGACTGACTTTTCCCCTAACTTCACTTATCCCAGTCTATAGTTTTTACCCAATTGACTCGCATAGTTCCAGCAACGGTTAGTGCAATGAAAAAGCAGACAACGTCTGACTGCTCTCCTGGGGTTAATCAGTCTGACAGACGCATGATTTGCCTGCGAATAATAGTCACCGATCAATATGCTACGCGATCGGTTAGGCGACCTCCGGTCATAGCTATAACTTGATGCAATACATGCACAACTCGGCGTATTGTTTCAATTCCGACATTCGCCACTTGCCCCTAGCAAGACCACAGGCATCTTACAATGGAGTATTTTTTCAGTAATCACCTTTGGACGCACAAGTGAAGATGTTTAAGGGTCTTGTATGGCAAAATACGAATGCAGATTAACACACCGGAAGCAGATATTCATAGGTCATACATACAATCTGCATAATCAATGCACGGGTGATGACTACTTCAGGCTTCCTTTACTAGCTGCCTACGGCCTTGCCGGAAGCAAGCGAAATTGACAGTAGTGGGACATGACCGCAGAGGTGACCGATGATTGGCAAGCGAATCGAAAGTCCTAATTTGGACACGTACTCCCCCTCCCCCCCACCGCAAGGATGAACGATATAAATGTCCACAATTTGCTGTACTCGAGTAGCCTCTAATGATGAACTCTAGTTCGAGTTCGAAAGCTCAGGCAGGTATGATGTATGGGTTTCGACTGCGCCATCGAATATTTGCTGGATGCAGATGGATACCTACTCCCTTCCAGATTCAAGGCAAATTCATTGAAGCTTCATCTAGACCACCATGTATATTTTAATAAATTCTCTAAAAAGACAATATTTTACAATGAATTCTAGAAGTTGTCAGTATTTTCAGTGTGGGTTAAGGAAATTGGTTTCGATATCCCTTATTTCAGTAATGGTATTTTATTTTATTAATAAAAACCCAGCCAAAACAGACTCATGTTTTTTAACAAAGCTCATATAATGCAGTCGCTGCTCTTTCTAACTAGTCATCTGAATAATGACCCTTAGAAAAACCTTACTGAAGGGCTTGACAAACGCCTTAAGCCAACATATGGTTGAGCCGGCCAACCGACCATATGTCCACCGCTTCTATTGTCATAAATATCCACTGACGCAAGAATTCGGAGTGTCTCCCCGATATTCAGCGGATGCCTTGAAATGATTAGTTTACGCCTACTCATTGGTCGGTATGGACTAAAGGATCAGAGAAAATGTACGTTTACCGACCTCAAATTCTTCATTGTGAACATGAGAATCCTCATTGGACTCGAAAAAATAAATGTTTGTCATTCTCATTCACCTCAAAGATTCTTTAATTTGATGCTGTTACCTTAAATAAAATAGTACTGCTCACCGTCTGGGAAAACCCGCATACAAATCGCGGTGACTGATTTAGTGGGGCTCTCTGAAGTTTTCTAAAATGATTTTTTTTTGTAAAATAAGTTATCTTTACCTCCAAATAAAATTAGGATTTACTGGTCTTTCTGGCGGCTTGTCCTCTGTCTGCGATTTTTCTGATGCGTATGGATCGACTTACGATGATAATCATATGTTTTCAAGATTAACTACGCAGACACAGGCACTTTGAACTAATAATCGCTGTTGACTATTTTTCACTGTTTTCCAGCGTGCATACCCTACTTTATTTAACTGAAATATGTTCCGCTGCTCTAGGTGCCGGGACCTAGCAGAAGGAAATGCATTTTGGGGCGACCTTCATACTTTTGTTTAACTTGGCGAAATCTAATGCAGATGCACACGCCTTCGTGCAACCATGTCCGCATTCACTCTCAGGCTGTGCCGTAAAATCGGATTTTTCACTGATCGGCCTTTGTCAACGCGTGCAAGCAATGACGTTTTCCCAAGTATTCTGATGACCTTTGCTGTGGAACCTTGTCAAGGAGGTCTAAAAGCACTAAACATCCTCAACTACTTTTAAGAATGAGTCTCAGATCGTGGAAGATCCCACACTGTTTAGTTGTTTTACTTCATAAGGCATCATGTTCTGCTCTGTGAAATCCCAATTAACTTTCAATGCCAGTAGATATGATGGTTAACCTCTTAGAAAAGCACCCAAGATATTTTGCCGCTCTCACGATCACAGAGGCTGGCCGTTGATGAACGTTCGATGCATTTAGAATGCTTGCCGAATTAATAACCCCAGGCTATCAAATGGCCTAAGTGCAGGTATAATTAAAGGACGCGTCCGCACGCCTTAGGCAACTTGGCTATCCGCTTGTGGGTGTCAGAAGACTGATTTCTCATCACCCGTCTGCACAAGCACGCACACATCGGTGTCCTTTTTTCCTGCCGGGGCAAGACAATTAGGTGAGAAATGGGTATGAATCACAACAGCAACGTCAACATAACAAATTGGCGGCCTCGCAACAGAATGACATCTGCACATGTCCCGGATGTTGAGTGGCGGTGGCGGCGGCGGCGGCGGCGGCGGCAGCAGCTGCAGCTGTGCGGAGGCAGTGCCATTGGATTCGGCGACATCGAATGGGCATGGCCGGACAGAGCCAGTGGGAGTCCAGCATGTCGGTGTGCGGGATTGGGGCTGCATGCTGATTGGTTAATTCAGCTCGTGGCCTGGCGCAAGCTTCCTTGAGGTTAAAATAGGCGCGAAGGCGGAGGCGCTAGTGCGCGCATTGCTGCCGACACCATTCGGCCTCCAACCGTTAGCCAGGAGGGAGCTTTGCGCCACAGCACCATCCTCGGACACGCGCGGACATGGGTTCGGTGCACGGCAAGCACCGGCTCACCAGATCCGAAGCCCGGTCGCTAGCCTCTCAGACGCATTTCACAGAAAAACAAATAAATAAATGGCACCGGATTTTCTTGGTGAGTAGACGTCTCTTTCTGCCGAACTTTTGTGTAAACAGGGAAGTTGCAGGCCTTTAAAGCATGTCCGGATTTGCTTTTGGCCTCCAGTAGACCACGTTTTCGTGGGCGTCCAGAGGGTTTGCTTTAAATGACTCGGTCTTATTTCTGGAGCTGCACGAAGTGGTGTTCACGATGCTGAAATGAGAGCAAATTATGATTCCCGACCTGAGTGCGGGAATTTTTGAAGACCGTCTGGAATTTTTGTTAGGTACGACAACCGTGCTTCTTAATCCTTGCCTATATTTGACGTCTTAACGTAGTTTGTACGTACAAACTTAATTAATTCCTAAGGTAATCTCGCGTTACATCGAACAGCAGATCATTTTAATGCTCTTACCGATAAAGAGACGGTGCGGCTTCGTGTCAGCTGCGCACACTGCAGCATTGTTAGCATCAAATTAGTAATTCTTTTTGTGTCCGAACTTTTGCGTGATAGCAGCCGTTCTCGAAGGTGCTTTGCGTTCACAGTATTCTGGTGCGATTTCAAGAAGGACTATGTCGAAATTCGCTCCCATTTGGCGATTGCTCGTGTTCAGTTAGGGAATATTTAACGGGCGCGCGAATGCATTCTGGCACATTTGGGCAGCTTTTTTGTGATATTTAGCACATATATGGAAGTATTTGCGTTAAAATTTTCGCGTTGTCGCAACGGAATTCCGCGTGCCCTGGCGCTGGACAGAACGTCAACCAGCTGCACTGCACAAAAGTGCATTACAGTTTGCATGACCTATGTGGTTATTAATTTCTGCCGCCCGTCATCGCTGTCTTGTAAGGCTTTGCCTTGGATAATTGAACTTTCCTTTCATAACTTCGTTCTTAATAAACTACAACCAGGTATACAAATTTCCCTCAAAATTATGCTCAGGTTAGCAAATGCAAGGAGATATGGGTCGATAATCACAGAACTATAAAGGGCTTGCCGGATCAGTGGAATTGAGTGGCTGACGTTTCGGAAGGCTAGGCCGGCTCTTCATTCACTGCCTTGGCCTTCTGGCCGTTGTCTTTGAAAGTAAGCGGCCTCCTGTGTTGTATGTCGTCACCCCAATGGGGTTTGGCAGCACCTGCTCTGTCACTGAAACCACAAATATGTTGTAACGATGGTGGCTGCAACTACGTTCGGGAAACCATACGGAAGTGGGAAACCCGCCCACTCGGGCACAAACTAATGACACGGAAAATAGACCCAAACTCATAGCTTGCAACTTACATCGGAAAAATTAGCCACAGTTTTGACTTTCACGGAGCAGCGGTATTAAATCGGGGTACGCCAAAGACAGAGCGTTTCACACTTGAGACTTGGCACTCAGATGCCAACTCAATCAACAGTCATGTAAACATTCCTTCGGCCTATATACACCATGATGGGGACAACACGGTCACTTCGCCTGATCCGCTGGGCCCCGGCTCGTATTTCCCAGGTTAAAATTATGCTTTTCGTACTTTCCTGTAGGCGTTTCTTTGCGCAAATTCCATGTTGATCGAATTTGCGCCGTCGTAGGCAGGCGGGCTAAACAGTGCAGAGTGCCTCACGGAAGTCAAAACGGCTGATTCCCCAAAGCCAGCGTCTGCCTCTTCACTCCTGAATTTACGTTTTGTAACAGTAGGATGTCCATCAACTTGCGTCATTAGGGGTTTCCGGTGGAAGCGATAGACTTTGAGAAGTGAAATTGCAAAAGCGTTTATTTTAGAATTGAAAAAAGGGAGCATTACTGCTTCTGAAAGCCTAATTCTGCTACTGCAGCCCTTTCTCTTTGGCAATTCGCATCTTAAGGAAATCCAGCCAGGGAAACTAGGACCTAGTTCCCTCACTTTACATCTTCTGAAAGAATCTTAATTGATATTTATTCGTGAACCTGTAAGAGTTAGTCTAAATGTCCTTCCTGAAGTAACTGGAATGAAATTTTGAGGGTAAACATTGAAATATCTTCCTTCCGCCTGCTCAAGGGTACAGGTATTCTGTTATATACGTTTCTACAGCAGCTGAGCCTTTGATGCAAGACGTTGATATTCTTATATTTGAACGAGTTGAAGACAGTATTACTTTTCCGCACTCTCCGCGCGTGGGACATATATCTCATTCACATTTTTAAAAGCGATCACGATTGGCCTTTTTCGCTGAAAAATTATGTCGATCGGGGTTGCCGCCATGTGTTAATGTACTCCGTTCACATCGAGAGATTTCCCAGAAATATTGGAAATACGACGCCCTTCGTATGTGTGAAAAGCTGTTTTTCGAATTTTAAAAGAGCCTTGTCTTCAACGTGGACAGTAATGCGTTTCAACCGTGTACTGCCATACACTTGAAGCTTCAGCATCCATAAGCAATAGCGGTTTTTAAAAGGCTCATTATTTAAATTACCTTATATTACTCAATAATTTCAGACACTAATCTCTCTTAGTCTGTGGGATTGAGTCACCTACCTAAGCTCCAGAACGCTTTAATGAGATTACCCACAAATCACTGCGACTGAGTTATATAGCGTAGGTGAAGTTAAAACACACGACTACTGGAAGAAATAAGTGAAGTCTATTATGAAAAACATCGTGCGGACAAGCACGCTAAACGTCTTAACCGAATCCTGTCACATTGGCCGTTATTTTCGTTATTTAAGACCCAACTGTTTTTGATCTATCCTAGACTACGTTTTTTAAAAAAAATCCACATGGTAAAATTGCTGAGGCCATTAAATCTGGTGACCTTATTAGGCAGGTCATGCGTCGGAAAATTCGAGTTACTGAATGATGGCGTAATACAGTTTTAAATTTCGCCTAATGTGGGACGGGTAAACAGTGTTCACCGGCATCATTTGCTATTGGCTTAAGAGACTTATCGATCCAGTTGTGGCAGCCTGCATCATTAACCGCGGGGACCGAAATCTAGTCATGCCATTTAAGGCAAAATTTAAGCACACCAACGTACGCAGTGACGTGGCATGAATTTCAGTTGATGGAGAACGAATGTCCCTCTGCCATAAATACTGGAGTTTCCGATGCCCACGTTAAAAATTCGGTCTCCATCCAACCACATTTATTGCTGCGACTCAGCTTCAAATTGTGAATGCTTATGGTTCACCTTTCGGTCGTTCCACAAAATTCTGCCTCCGAAACATCCTTTCAAACGTATGAACGATTCTCTGAAGTGCCCCGACGTCATTGCAGCACTTTGTGTCGCATGAAGTCTCTGTTCACTGTCATGGGAAATGCGCTCACCGGTCAGGCTATGAGACGTGTTCGTCGTCTCGCGTTTTTGGGTCAAATCAAAGATTCTCTGACGCAATCTAGTAGCCACCAACAATACATACATAAAGGAAATGCAGATAACGACAAGGGAAATTGGGGTGGCAGTTTCTGATCTTCAAATGTTGCCAGCCATCCGCACCCTGTCCAAGGTTGGGGGAACTTGGAATGCGAACTTGAAATTCTTAGCCATTCACCGTTTACACAGTTAACGCTTTACCATTGATCCACGGGCTCCCTCTACACGTCATCGGCTTTTGGGTTCACATGCAGTCCTGAACCCTTCTACCTACGCAAAACTAAATGATCTAGCGATATCTGGAGGGCTGCGACACACATTTCTCCGAACCTCTCGTCTGTTTACCTTCTAAATGAGTTAGAGAACGGAAGTACCCCGCGTCTTATAGGTGGGCTTAGGCTTAGATTCAGGGGCAGCGGGAGGGTGTGAGGGCGCCAATTAACTGTCGGTAGATTGCAGACCGTGTCATATGGGGTTTTATCGTAACATTTATTCGCAAACCGCTGCAGGTCTTACAGTCCAGCCACAATTGCTTCGCACGAACATAAACCATAACTCAAACCCTTATTTTCTGTGATAAATTGCTCTTTGTGAAGTTTTAATGAACGCACCCATGTCCGTTGCCATATGTAAACGTACGACAAGACTTTCGACTAAAAGTCCAACCGATTTCTGTGCTTTCTTGTGTTCCGTCAGCTTACTATCTGGCGCGCTGTCCAACCCGTAAAACCTCCTATTACCACCATTCCCGTATGAAACGATCCACAATCTACCGACAGTCAAGTGGAGTCCTTCATTTTGCCGTTGCCGATCCAGGAGACCTAGGGTCAGAGTTAGCAGTTGCGTTACCGTTAGTGTTTGAGCTTAAGTTATAAGAGTTAGTGTTAGGGTTTGGTTTATAAGGGTAGAGTTGTAGTGAGTGCAATGCTTAGGGTTGAGGTCGGGACACGACCATGGGTGCCCTCTCGGAATTCGGCGGAAGGCCACCTGCAGGTTGTGAATACATATTCCCCTGCCTGACCGTTTAGAATTTAATTTCAACAATTTGCGACAACCATAGCCTATGTTTTTGACCCTGTAAGACCGTTTTGATTGGCTGTCCTTTTCCTGCACTTTCTGCATTGATTGCCTCGACAAAACCTCTGCAGCCGATGTGCCTTGCATAAAGTCCAATTCACTTAAAAAGGCGTCTGTCGTGTACATTTCAAAGTAACCTGTTTTTCGCAAAGACCTCCATACTTCGAATTCATGTATGAATTAGGACGCTGGCCTCCAAAAACGTGCATACCACAAAAAGGAGGTCTTTGCAAGAGTCGAGGTGTGTCCATGACTATTCAGACTGGTGACGTCAACCTGCCGTCACGCCAAATGAATAATGTGATGTGGAATTATCGTACCACAGCGTTCTGGGAAAACACATTAAGATCGCACCAACGGGCAAATGTCCATGAAGAGGGGGTGAACAGAGGTTCATTATGGTTGGCAGAGGGCGAGTGAGTAACTTTGGTTATGGTCTGTCACGTGTGGTGAGATGGCCGAATAGGGATAACAGTTGTTTTATGGATGAGCTCAGAGGGTCTGTGGACCATGTGCGGAGATTTTCTTAGTGAGTGTCCAGTTTAAAATGATAAATTGTTTTGTGTGTGCTAAAATGCCTGGTCTCGAGGTCTTTCTGCCTCTGTTCTGTTTCTGCTATACTAATCTATTCGGTGCCGATCAACTCGAAGCCGTCTTCAAGTTCAAGAACATGCGCAAAAACGAAATGCGACGGAGTAACTTCGATGGCCCGTCTGCTTGTATTTGCCAATGCGGACCGTTGGCGGTCGACCCGCACGACCGGCGTAAACGCAAGAGCAAACAGAACACGGAACGTCTTAGGTGTTACCGTTTGGCTGTTCTTCATGCACGGATTATGTTAGTCGAAACACTCTACATGTCGTGAGCCTTAGAGATTTCTTCCATGTAAGGCAGGGAATAGCATTTCTGCAGTACCACTCCGTCCTTTGGCTGTATACGGCTTCTGGGACTTTTTTCACAAAACTGATCCTCTTATTCATTGGATTAAAATAACTGATTTAGGTAAGGAAGTTCTCTCTTAGGCAGATCTCTCCGTTGCGGCAGTAACCAATGACCCCGCAAGAACGAGGTCGGATACAACTTATTTTTATGCTGTTTGCTTTTGTAGCTGAAAATTACTCATTTCTATAGTTCTTTCTTAGTTTTTCGAATAAGGGGCTCAGTTTTGTAGGCACTACACTCCTTTTCGGAAGTTTAGTGACTCTCTTAGATAGACCTGTCTCATTGATTGGAAGGAGACTAAGGTGCAGATTCTCTTGAAGATCAGCTTGCGTCTTTACTCCGACACCTTTAATGGTAATTTTTATTTGGTGCAGCACGTTCTCAGCTAAATTATGTATATAGGCTGCTGTCTTGAAGCGGTAAAGACGATTATAGAGATCAGACAAGATGGAATTCAAAGCATTGAATTCCCTTTCTCCTGCAAGGAATCCCATAGTCGCTCCTTGTAGAGTCCACTTGAATTGAAATTAACTCACTAAGTTCAAGTGTTCAAGGCAGCAGTGAAGAAAACTCTGCCCCTCGAAAGTCGTCAAGTCCCAACGCGAACGTATCTTCGCGTACAAATCAAAGAGATTTTTGGCGCCTATACATATTTGTTGAACTGAGTTAGTATACATTTTCAACTATTTAATTAAAAAAGAATTGACATTTACCTATTAGTGCGGTGGGAGACTTTGCTAGACGAATTACAGCCCGAAAATGCCTGTCCCTTCTAGAGCCCTCAAAGGCAAAGTTAATGTTATCCATCGTTTAGAGTGCATGGCTCGAGCTTACAGCTTTCTTGTATCGTTTTATCATGGAATGATTCTTTGTCTGAGATGTAAGTACAAGTTTAATATTCGGACGACTTCAAAATGTTACATTTCGGACTATGTCTACTCGAAAACAGGTAGACTAGCAGCTATATTTAACCGTCCAAATGCCCCCTGTCAACGTCTAGTCAACCGCACAATTAATAATGCAGATAGGATTGCCGTAAAGGGTATTCCAATTCAGAAGTTGGGACGCGTATTGCTTCGGACAGGATAAAATGTTCCTGCTCCTGCCCAGTATTTTGCATGTTTTAACTCCACTACTGAGCTATGCAGTACGATGCGCGACTTGTTCATTTAGTGTGATGACGTGTTTTAACTGAGACTGCTGCGCTGAACATGTGGGAGTACTGCATAGGCGATTTTCTGTTTTAAATAGTTGACATGGCGTTTGTAGCGGGAGCAGTAGATGCAAATGATTGCAGCATTCAGAAGTATAGTTAGTTCGTTTTACTTAAGACATGGACTCAACTCATTTATTTCAACTGTTTCTGACAGATATGGCCCCACAAAATTAACTCTTACTTCAGTAAAATCAAGATGTGTTTAAATTTATATAATTAATACGCTTTTTGAACTTTCGGTTAGAATCGTTTGCTGGAGATTGTTAGCAGACATAGTGGATGGCGAGATCAAAAAATGTTGACTTCAACCGAAAAGGTGTTCCAAATAAAAAAATCTCCCTATGTGGTATTGAAGGTGTTAATAACCATGAAATGTTACACCAGGGTATTTCATGCATTCCGTCCTTGGCTCAAGCCTGCCACCTTCAAGCGTTTTTCTCATTAAGCTTTGGCGTTTGTATGTGCTTACCTGCACTTTTGAAGGAATGAGCACTAAGTGATCAGTTTAGAGAAGATTATCGTCCCGAACTTAAGCATCCTTTTAAATTAGGATACAAATCTAAAAGACGACGTCCCGAAAACTTAACTGTAGTTTAAGTAGTCTATTAGCAGAAGACTACTAGTAGTCTAGGCTGTTAACTTCTGAGGAAATTGAAAAGCAGCAATTTCTAAAGTGAAGTATCCACCAGAAAACAGACGGGGAATGCTGGGAAACCCTCCGACGAGCCGCAACCCTCGGCGCCGTGTTATTCAGCGACAGAATATCGGCGAATCACGCATGTATGGGCTTTTGGCTAGTACTTGTGCTGTTAGTATGATATTACCTTACCCTAGAATATACTACTAGCTGCCAGCGGGCAGTTAATTAATATGACGCAAATACCGGCTGCGGCTGATGGAACTTGGCTCAAATATTCATACATAAAGTTCTCGGTCTGAGCCTAAAGACATACAATATGCTGATCTACTCGAGGTTCGCAGTTAATTTCTGAGGAGATTTAAAGGCAACAAGTCTAGGATATTCTTCGTTCAGCAGAAATATGTCACAAGAGAATAGCTCTGTACAGAGTCCGCCTCAATAAGGAGTATGTTAAGAGGGTAGTTTGGGATCTTTGAATGGTGATCATGGGTGGTTATATTATCAGGATTAAGCGCAATATTGCATTTTTATTTCCAGATAATCCATATTTCCAAAATACCCCCGTATTTGGGACAAGTAGGATTTATCTGAAATACACGTTAACTACTTACGTGGCAAGTCAGTTTGAGTCAAGGTCCATGAGCGCACGATCGATGGTGCAGCATGTGAGCATTAGTCACGTTTATAGTGAACGATTACACTACCAACGAAGAGCTAAAGTATGCAATAAGGTCCTTTGATCGCCCAGCAGTTTTAAGTTTCTTTTCGTCACTAAAATTTAATATGCCGTTCTCTACACCTTTCAGAAAGATTGTCCAACAGGACAGCTGAACCGTTCTGCATTTCTCAACATGTACACACACTTTTTCCCGGACGGCAAAGCCAAAGACTTCTATGCGCACCTCTTTAGGACGTTTGACCAGGACAAAAGCGGACAGATTGACTTCTCCGAATTCCTTACGGTAACCTCTCTGCTATTCGTGAAATTTTATGTTGAGATTTATATTTATGGCTACGTCTTTATCCGCGCGCAATGTAACTGCATATTTAGCTGTACAGCAGTGGTGCGTGTCGTCAGGGCTATAAATAATCATCAATTTATAGGATTCCAAAATCCCTCCTCGAAAATGATGAAGTAATAATAAGTTAATAGTTAACTAAATCTTTCTACGGGAAGGCTATCATTGTAGGTATTCCAGTCTGCAGAATCGGTTCATCCTCCTGCTCCTGCAACAGATTTTGGGACTTAAATACGGTAGAATTTCTGTTCTACAGTAAACGTAAAACATATAAAGTACAAAAGGAGACTCTACCGGATGCTTCGCGATATGCGAAAATTCAGGCTCGTAAGGGTGGCAACATTGGACATTTAGTTTGAAGTCGCCAATAACTATAGTCCAGCCTCGACGTGCTTCCTACGGATTTGATGGTCAATGAGGCAGTTTCTAAAACGAACACGTCAATTTGATAACCCTGCCGCTTAAGTGAGATCTGGATTTGGCGCACAAACTCCTTTGTTATACTACAATGGTGGGGAATTTGAGCTGTTTTTCTGTTGGACGTAGCTGTCATTTTGGTTTCCGAGAATGATAATTTTTAGGACTAGTTTCGGCGAATTGCCCTAAAGTCATCCCAGATGGACTTCAGATGTGCATTGAAGTGTTCCATTTACTGGAGTCATTGAACTGGCAGACACGTAGTCTTGCCAACAATTAGTCAGATACGTTTCACGCTAACATCACCTCTAAACGCGTTCTCAACTGTTGTCTCCCTAGGTCTCGGGTTGCTGCCGCAAGTGCAAGGTTCAAAACGGTTTTTGGAGAGGCCACTGGGAATGAGAAATGAGCAACAATCTTCATTATAAATGCAAAAAGTCCTATAATTACCTCTAACTTATAGAAACCATTGCTTGGCAGATAGCTAATGAGTAGGAAAACGCAGGTCTACCTACGACTGAACATCAGGGTTTAATTATTCATTTCGATAGGACCTTCCTACATTTTAAAATGCTTGTAATCGGACCCACCTCCTCAAGTGGGGCCGAGTACGTGGAACCTTAGCGACAACGCCGTATTTTCCTTGTGTAAGCGATCTGTTAGCTTTCTCGGCCAATGCATCCAGATTTCTCTCTGGCCGTCTTGTCTTACAATCGAGTGAGCGAAGTAGATGCTGCACAAGTCTCCTTCAATATAAGCTAATTTCCGCGCCAGCTATTACAATACACTACCCAAAAATACGGTTGTCTTCACCGCGTGCGAAAGATGAGCTGCTGTGCTGGCGCCTAAATAGATTGTTAAGGTGGGACCAGATCTTTTGGTTATTCGTCTCCCCAGTTCCTTCAGGAGATCATCTGTTTGACGTCCGCGTTGCCGACTAAGCAAAATAATAAGTATTTTAATGTATGCTTTTCATTAAATATAATTGGACGTTAGATGCATCGAAAATCACTGAGAAAAAGCAATACTACTTAAGAAACTATTTTTTACAGAGTGTAGTTTTTGTATGCAGCCGAAAGGAAGTTCCTTTGAAAGCCGGCATCCTTATTAAACTGAATTATTATACAATTTTGTTGCAGATTGACAAGTTTTACAACCCTACTTAGTTAAACTTTTTGAAACAAAAAGGTATTTCGGTTGATATTTAATGAGATGGCACCTCTACTCAATTACTATACCTTTAGGAAAATTAAATCGGAGAGCAAGAGAGGCACAACAAATAGTGTTTACAGCCCATTCTGTAGGATAAAAATAATCGCACGTCAACGCCGGATATAATTAAGTGAATGGATCTTAACGCCCCCTCGTCCCGATAGCTGCAGCATGCGGGAATATCGTCACCCTCATATTTTGGCTTTGAGAAAACGTCGTTCTAAGCAAGACCGTACTTACCTGCCAAAAGGAATAAAAATGTCAGGCTCTTGCTGATAATAGTGGCCTCGCCTTTGGGTATTTAGCCGCTTTAATAAATTGCGAAAATGTAGTCATTTCTCCATGACCCACGCATCACTTTCGGAGATGATATTTGGTATGGTTCTAGTGCCATGGCACATAGGTTATTTCTGAAGACGTTGAGACGACTTAGTTCACTCTATTGTCGTGTTCTTAATCCTGCGCGCACAAAAGTATTAGTAAAGGAAATGGACGGATTCTATTTTGTGGCCGCACCTGCCGTAGACAAGAACTAGCTGCATATCTTACGGGTCGGGGGTAATAGAGGATTTAACACTAACGCCTAACTTTAACCCCTAGCCCCTAACGCGGACCCCTAGCAGGTAAGTCTACGAAATAAGATCTCATCAAAGAAATTAATTGAGTAATGCAATAGGGTGGCTGGTCTCGCAAATGTCCACGGACAATTGTGCGTAGATAATATCAAATTTCGTAAGTCTTTGCTCACGGAATTTACACTTCCAAACGGGGCTCTGAAGTTTAAAGCAGGCTTTCCCTCCTACTCTTCAATTATTCGGCCGCCGCCCACTTGTTGACAGTGGGTGTGGGGTTTGTTGGACAATCAGTTGAAAAAATTTGTTAGTAATCAAACCTGCGTTGTCACCTATAAAGAGAGAATAAGAGAGGGTTAGATTTTCAGTGTGTATCAACATGGTTGCCCACTGTCGTTGTGCAGTGAACATGACGCGTTTGAATGTTATATCCTCTAAAGCCATAACTCTGCTGTCATTACGGCAATTCATACCACAGTTGTATGTTAATGGTTCTCTGTTGGGCGTTTGGGAATATTGTGCAGTTATTAACCAGTAGCTGGCGGATTTGGCTCAAATGTCCATATCGAATTACAGACTGGGCCTATAGAACTTCGTTCTGATTGTATACGCCAAGTGAGACGTTGATTTCTGGAGAGACTAAAAGCTGAAAAATCACCATTCGCGTTTCGTTAGGCGAAAGGGAAGACATGACGCGTCATCATTCTACACACCACGTGCAATAAAAAATCCTGGATATTGAAGTTAACATCGGGAGATTCTCTGACATGCGTACAGTTTCTGCCTTCTCTCTGTGGGTCAGCATTTTGATTTTGGTCCTGTACCGATTTTCCCATTTTACGCGCTAAAAGAATTTGCAGAACATCCTGACGTTCCTTTTAAAAAGTAATTAAAAAAACTGTTTCAACGTCACCGTTCACGGCATAAGAAGAGTAATATATATTATCGTCCAAAATTCGGTCAGCGGCAGCTGTCCTCAAGATCTTCACGGGAATTTAATTCTGCTTTGTGTGGTGGGCATTTTATTTTTTAATACCATTTTTGGACAGCGTCTTTATTTATGAAGAAGAAGATTTTGAAGGGAATGCATTGTTTAAAAAGTGTTCTCAACAAATTAATCTGCAGATTCTTTGCAGCATCGAGAACGTTTTCGTAGATTGGTTGCCTAACAGCAAATTTTATGTTCCGTTTAGTTGTGGGTCAGGAAAAAATAATTTTCCATTCAAATGCGCCACGGAATGTATCAAACTTAACTACATTTTTAAAAGTGGCGTGCTTGAAATTTTTACTATTAAGAAAATACTTGACAACAACTAGTAACATTATGCGTAATGTCTATATAAAATTGTCATTGTTCGGGCTTAGTTGCTTAGTTTGAAGAAAAGTTTAAAAATAATACTTTGTTTGAGGTTAACGCGATTGGACTCCATAAGTACTCATTTGGTTTTCTTAGATTGTTGGCCAAAATGTTGAAACTGACTTATAGTGTACATTTTAATAAACTTATCAGCATAATTATATCAGGTAAGCTTACAAACGAAGTAGAGATAACCATTCGTTATTGACACTTTGCCTGTTTTTTCAAGGCAGATCTTAATTTATTTGCGCGGTCTAATTTATATCTTGAACAATAATTTTCATTTTCTCCCTAATGATAGTGTCCTAATTTAACCGTACATTAGCCAAATTTTACCGTTACCGATTAGGCGGCCTAGAACAGTCCCTAGCACGCATACGATTTGCTGCCAAAGACTACGTGATCTCCATCTCCCGCGTATTTGGAAAACCTAACCCTTCTTTTCTATTATTGCGTTTGACGGGTGTTTTAATGGATAGAATAAGGACTCGCGTGTTGCGAAATCGACTTAGTTAATGTGTGCATAGCACATTGGCGATGTGTAAAATATGTCAGATTTTGCATGCACTCATTGATTTCCTGTTATCTAGGGCGGAAATGTACGCCAGATTCACCGAATCGCCATATTTACAGAGCTATACATGCGTCGCAACAATAGCTTTATTTAAAATGCACATAAAGTTGGCCGTTTCCTTGTGGGATGATTCGATATGCAGACCCAATTTGAGCATGTCGGAAAACTATAGATTGACTTTTCCATAAGGTTACTAATGGCTTTTTTAATTGAAAAGCAAAAGGCGGTATTATGATTCAGCCTTTCAGTAGCCTTTTTAAGATGTTCTCCACCACGATGGCAATTAAATCATTTTACTTGTAAACGTTGTTTGAATTAAATATTTTAAATTGCTGGGAAGTGTCAGAGGTATTTTTAGTAGAAGTAAAATTGCTCCCCTACTGCTTCCACTGCAACGGTGCAGCATTTGTAACCACTTTCGACCTCTGAGAGCCAGTGAAATAACGAAAGTCCTTCTGCAAACTGTCTACAATGCCGTGTTTTATGATAAAAATGGCCTTAATTATCAACCATTCTCTTCAAGCGTCCCGATGATATCCGGACTTTAAAACACGACAGCGTCTCTCATGACTGCACAGGCAAGGACATCACTGTCTCTTAATAGCTCCTGTTCACCTAGCTTGTCGGTGTTCATAATGAGCTCATTTCGCTGTTGAAGATACTAATCCTACAGAAGTAATGTTTTTACTAATTATACTTTTATGTAGGCTCGTTTTTGTACTTTAAGCAGGCTGAACATATGGGTCTATAAAACTTGGTCGTAACATGTTTGAGATCATGCGTGTCGGTTGGATAACCATCTGGACAGTAATATCTTAAAGTGCGTACTCCCAAATTGTCCAAGTCTGTGCAGTCAGTCCGCCTCTGTATAAAATGCTTCACGCAATTGACTCTGGCCAGTGCATTGAATGGAAATGAGTAACCACTGGCCTTCTCTAAAAATCTGTCCAATAACTTTTATTTTGTTTTTTCATAAAAAATTGAATATCACTATCGTCGTATACTGCTCGTACGCTCCTAATACTCTAATAATGGCCATAGGCATATCTCTGGATTGTGCAATTTTCTGTATTTGAACTAGAACAAATCCAAACTCTATAATACTTTCATAGAGCATAAGACGCCACGCTGGTCATTCATAATGTAATTTATTTAAGTTCCTTTTGAACATTGAAGGTAGATTAAATTAATGCGCGACCTCCGTATCCATTGTTTTGAATCAAACACTCGTTCATTGCATAGGATCCCCTGAGACCAAAACGAAGATTTGTTTCTCTTATGGTTAGCGCAAGTAAACGGTAGTCAGACGCTTGAGCAATGGCCTGATGGGAACAGAAACCTACACGTAATAAGCGCAGACACTTTTCACAGGCAGTATCAAAAATTCGACCCTATCGGATAGTGCATTAGGGAATGAAATTAAAGTTAAATGCCCGATCGTCCGCTTTGGGACACTAATCGGTCTAAACATGTGTAGACTTGCTTTTTCTACGATGGGGTTAGGGTAGGGCTCGATCTAAGTTTAGGGAGATGTCTAGAGTAGGTGTCAACACAAACGTATGGGAAGGTCGGGCTTAATGTTAGGATCAGCGCTGGGACTTAATCTAGTGTCGGCTTTAGAGTGGGGCTTACACTGGTTTGACACCTTTGTTTCATTAAGCTTATGGTTGGAGGCGCAATTAGGTCTACGCTGGAGGACTTAAACAATTTCAGCACTCAGTCATATCATCCCATATTTGCCCGGGTTTTCAAGAGAAAATCATATTAGCCGGTTTTTATATGAAACAGAGCAATTACAAGTTTACTATGACGTCGCCGTAAAATTGACTGGAATTATGGTAGTCTGTGGCACAAGCCGAGGGCTCAAATCTTAACCTACACCAATTCAATCTGCCCACTGTGTGAATCAACCGGCATTGTATCGAGCCCAACTCAAGCGGTCATGGTATTTCAAGTACACTGAACCTCGGGTTAGATTAAGGAAGTCATATTGATCACGCGATGTTTAAAACTCTTATAAGAATAAGTTTTTCGAAAAAGTCTGGACGCTACTGAAAGTTTTAATAGGTGCCAGCTGTTTACTGTGAGTGATGAGGAATTGATTGTTAGTTATTTTCAACGTTTTACTGTTCATCATAGGCAATAAGCATTACCCAAAGCGGAAGCCCTGAGGAGAAACTTGGACTGGCGTTCCAACTCTACGACATAGACGGCAACGGAACGATTGAGGAATCAGAGATGACTGAAATTATTAAAGTGAGCCGTTTGGGATGTGTGTTCTTTGAAAATGTTCCTTTTATCGATAATGTGTTTACTTTAATGAATATTTAACGGTCATTTGTCGCCGATCTTTTGATGAAAGTATAATGACGTCGCCTATGTAGGGTTCGCTGCGATAAGCCCATCATTGTCATAAAACCTCACTTGCAAGTCCACTCTGGTTAATTCATAAGGGCTGTGATGAAATCTGTATTCCAAGTTTTTTTTTATTAAGGAGCTCTATAAAAAGATATAAAAAAGTACGACTTACGTTCTTAGTTAATGTTGCACGCTACGATTTTCTAGTTAACTGCATTTTCTTGTCTAAATGGCCTTTACTTTGTACTGTTAAATGCCTAAAGCACATTGCCCCATTTAAATCCCGCTTCTAATTTTCAATCAGAAAGCTTTCTATCAGTATTGGGAAGCATTTTGTCCCGCGGCTTTGAAACTCACGGATTCCAACATAAAAAGTAATAAATGCCTACTGTTTTTAACATGCAATACGAAAATTTCGCATAAAGGGTTTTCCTTGATCAGCTACGTCATGCTGTTCGGATTGTGTTTTCCATGCATTTACTGTCCGAGAGTGAAGGGAAGAGGTTTCCTTCAACGAAAGAAAAAAAAATTTACATGCACGTGAGGACGAAGAGGTGGGTTCCAGTACGCGATTCAGAAGAAGATGCTATCACTGGAACAAGAAGTATAACGATAGGCACTGGATTCGTAACTGATGCGACGATCCGCTGAGCGAGCGGTTGAGCTCACAGCATCAGCAGCAGCATTCGGAGGAAAGATGCTAGCTCTCAGGTAGCGCACATTCAACGGGACCCGACCATATTTTTAGTTTTCAAGAGGCCGAAATCCTCGCAAGAGATGACAACCGCATGAGCCGCGAGCTGCTCGGCTCATTGTTTACAGGCCTGCAATCCATCAACAAGCGGAATGACTTTCCATTGTCATATTCAGTGCTAAGATTTTACTCGAAGAGGGGAATTCGCCACGTGGGGAGGGCGCAGGCAAGCAACAAGCCCAGTAGCAGCGAGTCAGATCGTCGAGTAATCATCACGACAGTATCCTATACTGACGATGAAATCGCTGCCTGACGCGATAGACCCGGACTGACAAGATGTCATCGCATCAGTTACGACCCCCCGCGGTGATCGTGAGAGCTGTTAATTATAGTATGCATGCGGTCCCACGGCAGCTGCGTATTACAAATACTGAGCTCCTGATGCCGGCGCTAGCCTAAACTGTTTCTGTTTCTGACGATGCGTTCAGGTAAGGAGCCGAGACGTCAAGCTGATAAACAACTTGCTGCAATGATCACATCTTTTTTGAACGAATTGGATTGTGCGTCGATAGAGGATGAAACGAGCGACGTCAAATTGCAACAACCTCGGTTGTTATCGAGTTTAGGGTTTCTGATGCGTAATATACGAGCCAGAGGAGTGTAACTTTTACAGGACGAGCCCTAGATTTTAGTGGAGCATGTAAATTTTCCCGTTTTTAATGAGTTTGTTTGAAGTATTTTAATAATTTATATGTTTAACATGTGAATAACACGGCGGCTTGTGTGAGATTTGATCTAACGACAGCGTAGGCATGTTCTCGCCACGTTGACTAAGAGGCCCCACCAGGAACCGTTAGCTTAATCGCATTTGGATCCAGCTACTCGCCGATCCTACTGCAAAATATAGAAGCCCCGATTCCCATTCTATTTTTATCGTAGATTACTGCATGTAAGAGTCACTGATTATAGCAAAACGTGTATGTTTTTAATTCTCCGGCGCGTAATATCTTTCTTAACAGAAGATTAGGCTAGAGGAAGTGCCGTTGCAATTTAAGTCCCTGTCGTGTTAATGTGTTGGCTGCATTAAATCCAGCTCCTGTTTGTTACGCGTCCAAACCTCACCCTCTCACCGAGGCTGCGGGGATTTTTTGCAGTGATACAGTTAATCGGAACTCTAGGCAGCTGAGTACAAGAAGACAGAGTCGGTGGAGTAAGGTTTTATTCGTCTGCCGTTTCGGATTTTCACTAGATCATACCACACGAGGTCCATTGTCTGATGCTGCCTTTAATAATGGTCATGAGCGCATGGCCAAGACGTTCGGTTGATAAAATTCTCGCGTCTGCGCTCGTGACTTCATTCTCTCTGTTACCTACTAAGGTTTGCGTTTAGTTTTAATCGACTCTAACCTAACGAAGCACGTCCCAATACTGCAGGTCATTCAACTATAAACGCTTTTGCCTAAAAATGCCTAGTGCGAAGGAGGCGGAAGGAAGGATCATCACGAAATGACATGTATTGGGAACGCGGCCTGTCAAAATGTATCAAACAAGTCCATTTTCTCATTCCTATTTACGACGTCAGACTTGATGTGCGCTGAAGGTTCTCTGACACCTTGTTTCCCTGTCGGTAAATGCGCTTGCGCTCTCACTGGGTATACACAGGTCGTGTGTGTGTGGTTTCCCAGTCATCCTCTTCTTTCTGTCGTTGCTTTTGTTTGGATTCGTGGTCAAGCGTCTGGTGTGGACCAGGGGGTGTGGATTTGTGCGCCAAGGTGTGGGTCTGCCAGCGTCAACCACCGGCGCCCTCCCCCCCCCCATCGGTCTTTTTGGCTGTGCTTTGACACCGAACCAGGTGGAGGAGTAATTGTGGCAGATACTGTGCAAGTCTACTCTCACCATAAACAAAGTCACGCGCAAGTCACCTTGCCTGCCTTATCTTGCTGTAAAACACACGGTGGACAGCTTCGGTTGCGACGGTCGAACCGTCATATTGCATTGTCGCGATCAAACGTGGGATATTTCATGGACTGGTGTGTGAACTCTACAGTGGTATCCATCCTCTGGAAATCAAGATCTCTGTTAACTACTGACCGCTTGTCCACCCGACTTTTGACCTACTGATATTCTAGGCAGTTGTTTCAAACTTGAATGGTCGTGGAGAGGCTATGTAATCGGCACATAGTCTGGATTTCAAAATATCCTGTTTTTTCCCCGAAAGCGGCACTGCAACAGGAGGACGCTAGGGGTTACTTAATGATTCTGATTCAAATGGCATCTGTTTTCGATCAGGCGAACGTTCCATGAGCCCACTTTCACTGCATAGAATTTTATGTCACCCTAAGACATTGGAAAATCTTTGCGAGACTCTCGATCCAGAGCCCGAATTAGTCCCATCCGTAAAGGGCCCAGCATTGTGTTTTCGGAGTCCCTCCGTGGAGAAGAGATCAACCAATCGCATCATAAACGCCCTCATTCTAGCTGCGAATTGACGGACCGTATTACTCACATTGAAAAATATGATTAGAAATCATAAACCTGAAAAACTATTTCTATTAGAGAGAGAGAGAGAGGACTGCTTTATTTTGAAAATAAATTGATGAGCATACACTACTTATTTAAAAGTCTGAGGTATTTACTGTTTTGGAAATAAGGGATGATAATTTTTGGACCTGGGCACACATGCGCACTGATAATACTGTCGATTGCTAGACTCTCAGGAAGGACTGATTTTGTAAAATACAATCTAGACGTTCATATTCCCAACTAAGTAGGCGAAACCGAGACTCCCAATCAGTTAACGAAATAGTTTACTTCGTTCATTTATAATCTTATTCTTCCATGCGAACATGAAATGTTTTTTTTTGAAAATCACATGGGATATCACTTTTTGGATACTTCTCATCGAATCATTACGAGCACTTAAAAAGTAGGGCCTATTCTCTTTTACAAGTTCAGCACTTCGACAAAAATTTCAAAACCAGCATCAGTTAAAGGTTGAGCTCCATTCCAGTTTTAAGCTTTATTGTCAAAGTCCAAACGTATTCCGCTGTACAAAAGCTAATCATGAGCGCTGCGTATTGATAATTTTGCCCGTGTGGTAAGTAATTTGTATGGTCACGCAAACTCAGTACATTAAAAATGCAAAACCTATTACTCAAAAGTTCACAGCATGTCCGATTGAGTATTGGTTGCGTTACAAGTAATAAAAGCCTTCTAACGCGGAGAAGTATGACTACTGACTTTGATATTTACCGTTCCCAGACCAGACGCAACACTAACATTAAGTATGTGCTAGTTATTTGGGTTCAAAGTAGAATTTGTTTGGTGTCTTTATATGCATAATATCACGGGGATTTACGGAGCGTGTAGAGTGACGGTGGCTTTCTTCTGTAGATATTCCGTGGTGATTTAGGAATGACGGGTAATGGCCGCGACATCTGGTTTAGTCGGGTTATCCTTGATTTTTCTTTCGGCATTTCTGCTGTTATATGGCGACGAGGGGTAAATGAATCGCTCTCGGAATGTTGGATTCATCTTTTAAGGCAGTAATTTTTATTTTTGAATACTTATATTGATAGCTTAATGCTGATACAACTGACATCAGGTCGCATAAGCACAATACTAACACCTAGACTCAATTTTAGCAAATATATTAATAGGTTAGCTAGACGCTTTCCCGATAAACGGCATGAGATACTATGGGCGGTATATGGATGATATATCCGCAATTCCACCAAAACAATGTGACATTTCTATTCTACTGGATGATATAAATCAAGCGCAATCATCGATCAAATTCACTCTGGAAGAAGAACAGTTCGGTTCAGTTCTCCTTCTGGATGTTCTTCTGAGAAGAAGGCCTGACGGCAGCGTTCGAAGTAGCGTCTATCGTAAGAAAACGTGGTCCAGACAATACACTCATGTTGGGAGTTTCGTACAGCTAAACGTTAAAGGCAATTTAGTCCGCTGTTTGACAGGAAGAATGCTAGCGCTGAGAAAGAGCTTATGGCCATCAAAAGGCTTTTTCGCCATAACGTGTATCCTGATCGATTCATTGCTAAGAACATGTCCAAAAGACCACCAACACCCCCCATGCTGGGGACGCGACAAGTGAACTTTTATGAAGACGCCTAACTCAAGCTGGATCACAGACCTTTCCAGCAGCTGACAGCCAAGTACTGTTCCCCACCAGTCCCATCCTATAAGGAGAATGCAAGGACAAACTACCAGCTCAGAGCACCTCTATGTGTATTTACTCTCCCACCTGGACCTGTGGGGCAGAATATATTGATCGCACGAGCCGGTGTTTGTCTATAAGAATAAAAGAGCATCTTTCAGCATGGTTAGGAAAGGGTTAAATAAAGAACATCAACAGCTTTATCCTCGTGCACATGATAGGCAAAGATCACCGTGTAGACGGCAGAGAGGCCTTCAGAGTGATTTATAAGGTGCCGTCCAGCTATCTGGGACTACTTTTTGCAGCGCCTGTTAGCTACGGCTACGGGAACCGATCTTGTGCGCATTAAAGAAATGCATACAGGTCCTACAAAGGCCATAGCCCAAAGCCAGCAAACCAGCCATCCGCATATAATTACCTTCCCCGAGGCCCATCTTCTCCCTAGTGTCGACTGGAATTTCGGGTTTTCACTCCCATTTCTCCCCAAACCCGAGCTACAGCATAATTATCTACTTACCCAGATCCTTTAATTCATTAATTCGATATCCATAGAAATGAACAGGCCTGAAGATAACTTATCGAAAGCAGGCGCATGCTCGCGAAATTGCCTTTTGAAGAATACTAATAAGCCGTTCCTTGTTGCCGGTTTGCATAGAAGCACTCCATTACAAGTATCCTCTTTAGTGCGAAATTTCTATACAATTATGTAAAAGCAGTTAAATCTGTTTTTGGTATGCTAATGTCACCAAACAAAAACGGCAATTACTTCTCTAAAACACGCCTGGTCTTGCCATTGTAAATAATTTTAGCGGTTTTTTTATACACCATGCTAACATTGGAAGAAGAACGAGACAGTTGCCAATACAAAGAGCCTGGTTTTTACTAATCCGCTGTCAGGCCCTCCAGTTAAATCCATTTTGATTGGTTCGAAGTGCCTTCCACATCTTCCTAGAACCAAAAGGATGTAGACCACGTCTCGGCTGATCCCACTGGTTAGGATTTCTACATACAAATATCTCACGCATGTTTCTCATAAATCACGTCATTTTTAAACAATACGTTGGACATTTTGAATTTTTGATTCTACCTTTTCGATGCCTGACAGGCTTTTAAGTTCAACAGGCATTTCATTATTTTCTTAAGCATACACATACGAATGCCTACAAGACGCTTGTTTTGATCGATAAAAGATATTGCCGTATGCATGTATTTTTGAATGGTTAAGCGTTTTTCCCAGTAAAACACTGTCAGACGCGTAACAAATTCGGATTTGACTAACAACATGAACGTGGGGGGTTTTCGAACGTAAACTCAGTCCATCACCACCTCTGGTTTACAAGTACGGCGAAAAAATCCAATCATAACAATATCTTTGGCGACTGTGCGAATGGGATATCTGAACACAGAGTGTCTGTTAGATACCCTTACTCCCAAAAGAGGACAGGGTAATGCGGTCGCGATTCACAACCTTCTAAACCTTGAACTGTAGCTGGTCATTGTGGTTTTAAGCGTATCGGCTTTACGTCAGCGATGTATATGCTGAGTTCCAGTGAGAAGGGCTGCCTAATTATCAGCCTCATTCTCTCCGTCTTTCATCTCCTGTACGTCAGTGTACTATCAGAGGCATCTTGTCTGGGTCGCTGCAGCGTCTGGTCCCCTTGTCTAAAGCTCGCCACGAGCAGGTTTGACAGCAGCTACGCGCCAGCGTAGACTCGATTTAATCTGATTAACTCATTACAGCATGGTTCCCATGCTGACCTAGCAGGAGTGTGCGGACTCAGAGCATGGCTCCGAGTTCCATGTTAGATATGCAATATTAAAAGGAGTTTGAATTGAGGACCGTCATTAGAACTTTGTCGCATGGATTTACGTGTTTGTGTTTAGACGGTCCAGCCTTTAACCATTGTTTATCTCGCTAAAGTTGTCTAAACCACTGCCCCTGCTTATGGTTTTGCGGAACAAGCAGGGTATAAGATATACAAATTGGCAGAACTTTCGTTACTTCAGCAGCTAACATGCAATATTATCTAATCCCCGTTGTTTGCGTATTCTAGGCCATCTACATGATGGTTGGCGAAAATAACCCCGGCCCTGAGAACCAACCCGATGTTCGGACAAGCGCCATTTTCAAGAAAATGGATCTCAATTCTGACCATGTTCTCTCCAAGGAGGAGTTTATCCGAGGCTGCATAAACGATGAGCATCTGTACAATCTTCTCGCCAGTTCGTCCAGCTAGGATTCCAATAGACTTTGTATGACTCTGACTTTTAACCCACTGACCCAAACTGAAACAAGAGATACATTATGTCCAAAAAAAACATTTAAAACATGTGTTGTTTTACTCTTTCGACCTTTTGTTTCAAATTTCACTTCTGCGGTGGATAGTGGAGTCCTCCTGTTGGCATCGCTCAGAAGGAATCATTGGCAGCACCGGATACTTTCGTGTGAATCAGAAGGAATCATTGGCAGCACCGGATACTTTCGTGTGAATCAGAAGGAATCATTGGCAGCACCGGATACTTTCGTGTGAATCAGACAATAGTGAGGCGAAGTCGTGCAAAATCTGACGTACTCCTTCTCCACCCCCGCCAACTTTGCTCCGATAGCATAACAGTGTCGTGGGAACCGAATCTAGGCGAGGGCGTAAGAGCTGACAAAACTCAACGGCACACCAGACCAGATCTTCGCTCAGTGCGCCTGGCGTCTTTACGGGCACTCCAGATATCCATCACTTAAATTGCCATAAGGGCCACAGTTAAGAGTGGTCGTTGCACCCTTACACTCAGGTTTGAGAGAAACAGAATTGCCTCATCAGTTGCTAGTCTCCCACGTGATTGATTCAGACGCGTCAGATTTATTTTTAGGAATGAATGCGCTGTTATGACGGCTTCTCCAGCATCGGTCTCAGTCGCTCTTTCTTCCTCCATGCACCAGTCGACTGTCTGATGCTGTCAACGAACTAGGGGCCACGCATGTGCGACAATAGATTCGTAATCGCGTGGAGACTGATTATCGGGCCATATGAATCAGTAGGACCCACGTCGTGGTCCAGCCCGTCCAGGGTTTCGCCCGCTGTGGGTGGCACACTCACACATGGGTCAGCTCGACCGTTGCATGCGACGATGACCGCCATGTTGCCTACGACGTTCTGGGCGCAGGATGGTTGTTTGTGCGTGGATCAGTCTTCAGCAGACTTGCGCTCCAACTGTCACGATCGTTCCTCCCCCACCTACATGAGCCCAGTGGTAAGACAGAGTCAAACCTACTGGAGGAGGGCCTGGGCGCAATGGCTGGCAAGGCGAAAAGTCCCCTCTACGCGTCCCACACACGTCTCGCCTGCGTGCAGTGGACCGGATGCCCACATATATAAGGGAAGGCCCGGACTCGTCTGCCACTAATGCCAAACGACGATAGTAGGGTGAAGGACCTCAATCAGTTGTCCGAATACTGTGGGTCGAGTCATCAGGGAATGTAAGCATTGGGTAGGGGGAGGTTAAGGCTGGGTCAGCAGGCCGGACAGTAAGCCTATTAAATTTAGGAACTACAGAGTACGGTCAGCGTTTCCCGTTATTTGGAAGAGAGTGTACAGTGGGTTTTAGTCACGTCATATTGGCACAAAGCTCTGGGAATGGATGTTTTGACCTTTCCGTGTATCTTATGGACAGGAGGTCGTCTTGTTGGGACATTTTCCTGCCTAAACATGAAGACGTCCAATAAAGAAAGCCTGTTGTACTGCATACAATCCGTCAGGTCTATCCGTTTTAAAAACGCTAAAATAATTTCCTCGGCAAACAATGGCACCCAGCAATTCCCCTGAGGGATTAAAAGTGCTAAAGAATGTTTATTCCTCCCGAGCGTATTGAGTACAGTGGGAATTAAACTGAGCACATGAATCATTTACCGATGGACCTCAGGTGCGCACTCGAGCATGACGCATTTGAAGGTGCAATAAATTCACGTTGGCCAGCGAATAAACATAATTCATCCAGAAACATCGGTCCAAACTTCAGGCGGATTGAACATTATGGCAAGCTGACCAGTTTAGTTCCCTAGTCCTTGTCCTTATGAAATGTTTGATGTCTGTTTGCCCTTAACTATGTTACCGCCTGTAATGACGTAAAAAAGATCGCGGTCGCCCATTCCTGGAGATAGGGGTTATTTGTTGGGCGGCACGCAAGTCAGTAATCTGGCGGAATGCACAGACGAATTATAGCTCTCAGAAATCTTTGCAAGAATACTAGTCGTTTTTTCCTTAACTAAAAAATGTCCATCAGTGCACAAAAAACGCAAACGATCATATCCACTGCTTTCAAAACTAGAGTAGTTAACAAAACCAAATGCAGTACCCTTTTGGGGTAAAAGTGAGACTCAGTTTCCTATGGATTGGAAAGATGAAAATAGGACTGCGTCAATAAAAACCTTACATTGAAGACCAAGTAGGCGCCTTCCTCTCCACTGTTGCTGAAAATTTACTCTATTAGTAAACCTTATTTCTAAAATGCTAACCTCAAAGCAACCTTGACCAAATGTGTTAATTCCTAACTTTTCATCCAAAAATACAGCAATGCCTTGGGGTCAAAGTTGGCAAAAATGTCAGTTTGAGAACGCTCCTTGTAACAATTCTAAAATTAAATATGACGTCATTTAAAATACTATCAAGCTATGATTGGAATGATCAATTGAATAGACATAAACTGCAGCGGAACTCATCTTTAGCAGTTCCACTTTAGCTGTTTTAATGCCACGGGAACAGGATGTATTGCAGTTGCATAATACCGCACGTTGTTATTATTCATTTGCATAGGCTTTTGGGTATAATCACATTGGGCGAACGCTAATGCAAATGACAGCCAAATCGGTCCAAAAAATTGTCTAAATGATTTGTAAAGAGGGAAGAAAGTGTATCTTGTTCTTTTATCGCGGAATATCTCCTGGACAACTGTCATCCTGTTAATCCCTCAAAACCCTTTCCAGCACTTGTTCAACAACGAACAAATCGGACAATGAGCAACATGGAAACAGCCTATATAAGGTGGAAGAAAGCCATCATATGCAAAGAGCTTGACCATGTTTTCAACCTCAAATTTACCCGGAAATCCCCGGTCCTTCGATTTATACACATCTTTTTCGTTTTAGATTTCTTATTTTTTTTCTATATTGTCTTATGGAGTTACCACTTGTATTGCCTTATCTGGGTGGAATAAACAATAATTGTCTTGATTTTAATTGATTTTCTATGCAAACTCAAATTTGTCAATGCTTCCTTTTCGTTATCAATGTGATGCAGCGACAAAATGTTGTTGATGAGTTGTCACGAAATTTGTAGAGACGAATAAAGTCTGTTGTCCATGTTTTTCTAAGTTCACCCCAGAGGGGAGACTTCAAAGTTTAATGTTTGTTAAACGACTGATTTTCAAAAGCTATTTATCTGACTGGTTAAAACCCATAACGGGATGTTTTTGTTTAGTGCTTGATGGTTGCATACTACTGAAACATTGCCTATCTCCAGCATTTTTTCTAAAGAAGACGCCTTTTAAATTCTTTTCAAATAACAATAGGCATTTGAGACGAATTCAGTGATTCATACATTGCATTATGCAATCCACATAATATAGTCAAAATAACCACCAATGTCTTTAGATCCAGAAAATGCATATAGAAACATAAAACTGGCATTTCCGAAAACTAGACATAACTTTTTACTGGCTAGCTGTCACTGATCATTGAAGTATTCTATTTTATAATTTAACCTAACACTTAAAACATTGCTATTTAAAGTTTTCTTTAAAACGCCTGCTGGTTTTCACGTTGCTCTTATTATTTTAGGCAAACTTCCAATTTTTGATGCCGCTATGGCGAGATGGAATAAAAGTTCTGCATTCGGCGAAAAAAGCTGACTTCGGCAACCGATCTACAAAACAGAACTGCGTATTCGTTAAATTAATGTTAATGATTTTCTTATTGGACTACTCCATTTTGGTCGACATGACATAAAGGAAATGGGCTTTTGAAATATACTCGACACGGCGCATGTGTTTGTCAGTTAGAGGACTGCAAATGAAATTTGTAAATATTCCTGCTTGTTAGATGTATAGATTTAAGTACCTTTAATTGTGTATAGCCCGATGACACCTATGTAAATGTCGAAAACCTGAGAAATAGTACTGGCAAAGCCTGAGACAATTTAATAATCGCTTTTCGATATATTTTCCTTCATTTATTAGATATCTGGCAACATTGAACTGCACATTATAGGTTCAAACACGGTTTACGTCAGTCGACTCATCTTCATTGAGCACTATAACGTGCACTAAAACGGCTCAATATATCTTTCCAAGGATCACATGTAATTAGTTACAAGAGAATGGCGCATATGAATACTTTCTAATGGAAATGATTTTTGCTTTGCTTTGATGGTCTACGTACCACTCATAATTGCAGTCTGTATTTAGGAAATGGGCAAGGGTAGGGTATTTAACCTCCTTGGTTTGTAAGTTTAAAAATTCACCCTCTTATATTATGTAGGTAGGTGTGGTGTTGCCCCAAGGCACAATGGCAGGCGCGACTTTCGTAGCGCGATCTTCGAGCGCCCCTCTATTATTGTATATACTCAGTCGTAACCGAGAGTGCGACGGGCCCATGGCTCAGTTGTTAGTACGTTGGCCTTCTAACCAACAGGTTGTGGGAGTGAGCTCCAGGATTTGCACACCACGGGGTTAGATGTGACTGGCCGACAGCTCATAAACCAGAAATGGTCATTCCAGTCTCAAGGGTCTTTGTTGGTAACGTTATTCTGTGTTCATAACGGTGTCTGACAAATGGTCAGCAAGTGAGTCATGCGGTATGCGGATTGGGATATTCAGTAACCTTATAAACATCCAAAGTGCCCGAATCGTATCGAATATTAGGGTTATATATTGGGTTGGATGTAGGGTTAATATTAGGATTTGGACTACTCTTATAACCGAGGTAGTCAGGCTTGGGCTAAAGCCTTAATTTTTGGTTTAGACTGGGGTTGGGGTTTAGGGCTGGAGTCAGGAGTTTAAGATATTATTTTAGGCTTTGAGTTAGTGATGTAAGCCTTAGGGTTAATGTTGCGCCTACCCTCGAGTTTTCCTCAAATGCTTACAAATTAATGGCTAGGGTCGCACTTTACAGCCATGCTCATGGTTAGCGGTAGAGCTATAGCTAACTACGGTTTTCCTAGGAGGTTTCATAGCATACCCTTTTTGGGAC